AAAAGCTGATTTACTCTTAAGACAAGTAGGTTATAAAAGGGGGGAGAATAATAACAAAAATCTTATTCTTCTAAACAATTCCTGTTTTGTGTCTGAGACAATCTAAGAGATCTGACTCAAATCCAAGAATGTTGACTTTGTCACTTGTATACAGTAAGCTCTGAGACACACACAGGACTAGGTTGTAGTAAAGCAACTAGAGAAGCAGGTAAGGGATTAGGAGGAGGATAAGAATGGACAGGTTTACTAGAAAGGCTGACTGTACATTCTAAAGGATTAGAAACTGTAGGAGGACATTGTCTAAGCTTATTATAACAATCCAACTGTAGGACATTCAGGCTGACACAAAACACAGGAACTTATTACTCAGAACTACTAGTAGTCTAGAATACAGAGGGAAATCCTAAAGTATGTGACTAGTTACAATATGTGTCAACAGACTAAAACCTACCAGACAAGAGTTCAGACTCTCCTACATTCACATTGGATCCTAGATCACTCTTAGGAAGAAGTCTCAGTAGACCTGATTAGTAAGCTACCTGAGTCTTAGAGTTACAACACTATCTGTGTGATTGTCAACTAATTCTCTAAGCAAGTCTACACAGTTCCAACCTGAACAGAACTCACTTCTGAAGGTATAGTACATATTTATTAGGATTATGTCTTCTAGTTGTACAGACTCCCTCAGAAGCTCATTCATAATTACAGACTATAATTCAAGTCAAAATTCATGTAGGACTTGTATACACTTCTTAGAATTCAAGGGAACCCTTCTACTGTCTATTACTTACAGACTGACAGTCAAACTGAGTAAGTCAATCAGGAGATTGAGTTCTACCTCTGGATGTTCATCAATCATTAGTAATCAGATTAGTCTGAATAGCTAACTCTAGCAGAATTTGTGTACAATAACTAGTAACACTCTATAATAGGACAGTCCCTATTCTTTCTCAATCATGAGAGACATTCATACTAGAGGACAGTTTCAAACTAGAATGACAGTTCTGAATCTGTAACAGACTTTGTAGAACAGATGTACAGAACTAGAGAGGATGTACAAGCTCTTTTAGAAAAGGTAGTACAGGTTATAAAGTAGAACTATAATTAGAAGAGGTCTGTAGTTAAGGATTACCAGCCTAGTAACAAAGTTATACTAAAAGCTACTAACCTGACTATGAATCACCTAATAAAGAAGTTGGACAACAAGTGCTTCAGACCCTTTGTTATTAAAAAGAAGGTTAGTACCTCTGTCTACAAACTCTAACTTCCAGCAACATGGAAGCACATACACTCAGTGTTTAATAAGGTTCTACTGTCTCAGTACTACAATCTAGGTTTTCCTTCATAATAAAGACTCCTACTACCTCTACCAGAACTTATTAGTTCTGAACCAGAATACAAAGTAGAGTATATAGTAGATACTAAGCTAGTGTATAGAAAGCTTAAGTTCCTTATCTACTAGAAGGGATACTCAGTTGAAGAACACACTTGAGAACTTGCTAAGAATCTTACTTATACTACTAAGACAATTCAAGACTTTTATTAACTTCATTTGGGTACTCTGTGTCAACTCTACCTTACAGATTTCTAAACCCTACCATTCCAACCTATACCTAAGCTACTAACCAAGTCTAATGTTTACTGATTAGAACAATTGGTTTTAGAGGGGGGGTGATGTTACAGTTCTCTACTCTCATACCTTTAGTTCTAAGGGTTCTACACTCTTCTATACTAGAACTTAGGACTTCTGTCCCTTAGGGGTACTGTCTATAGACTATATGTGTACTAACTCTTACTACTACCCTTCCTTACTTTATCATTCCATTCCTTTGACTACTCCTTCATTCTCTGTTCATTCTATAGTCTCTTACCCTTTATCCATCCCTTCATTCTTTGTACCTTTATCTTTAACATTCCTTTCTTTCATTCTTTGTAGCTTATCATTCTTAGTAGCTCATACTCCCTGAGTACTCTTGTATAGTTTAGTATATATAAGTGTACAAGATCAGACTAGTCCTATAGTCTTAATCTTGTCTACTCCAGATAGTCCTGTACTCTTAGGCTTACTCTATATACTCTACTCTTGTCTCACTCTCTCTCTCTGCCTGTTCTGCAAGTTCTGACTATGTTCTAGTACTTGTGTTCTATATTTCTGTTGTGTAGGATAGTTGTAGCCTGGGTCCCCTTGCTGAGCCTTCAGGTCCCCTCTACACTGTTACTGACACAGACAGACAAACAATATAAAAAGAACACTTTATTAACTAAATACATATTATTATCAGAGTCTATACTCTCATTACTTGTGTAATAACAAAGGTCTTTATCTCTCTAAGGTTAAACACATACTCTAGCACAGTATTACTTGATAACCTTAATCAAAAACAAGTCATTTAGAATACTTGTATGAAGAAGGGATCTAGAAAGAGTATAGTGTTTAGAGTAAGGAGTACAATAGAAAAGACTAAGAGAAAACCTGAAGAGATAAAAGGAAAATATTATACTTACTTATAAGAGAAACTACATAGTTAGTTAGGAACTCTTTGTACAAAGACAAAGAACCATTAAAGCTAGTAAAGAGCTAGAGCTAGTACTCTAAAGCTCTATACTTGAGGAGGACTAGTACTAGTATGAAGGAAAGGGAACTGAGAGCTCTAAAGAGAGACTATAGGAAAGTAGTCTCCTTTATACACTTTGTCTATACAGATAGGAAAGTAATAAAGTTATAAACATAAGGACTATATGAGGGCAACATAAGGGATACATGAGACAATCTAGAACTTTGGTTGTAAGTTCTATGATTGAATACAGAAGTATAAAGATAAGGCTAGAAATTAATAAGGATAATTGTCTCCTAAACTAAGTCTATTAAAGAAGACTTAGAGAAAGATTTAGAACATTAGTTGTTAGTTTTAGAGTATACACAAGACAGTCTAGAACTTTGGTTGTAAGTTCTAGAGACAGTATAGAAGTACAGTCTTATATATTATAGAAGTAATAAGGAGTTATTAGAAGTTATAATACTCTACCTTATAAGAAAGTGTATTACAAACTAGTGTACAGAAAGTACAGGTTGAGTCAGACAGAGTCATAAGAAGACTACAGAACAATAGAAAGCTCTACTTTATAGGAAAAGTATTATACAGCTTACACAGTATAACTAGTTAGGAGGACTTATAAGGAGTTATTAGAAGTATGAGAGAAAGTATGGAAGACATAACAATATAGTAAAGGAGTCATTAGAAGATTAATCTAGAATACAAGAAGACACAAACTAGTGTTAGCAGATTAATAGAAGACACAAACTAGTGTAGTATACAGTCTAAAGGATTAGCCAGCTCTACTTTATAGGAACAACAGTAAAGAGAGTTACTAAAGTTACTAGAGTAACATTACTCTAGCAAAAGGTATATAAGGAGGCCAGTTTGGCCCTCAAAAGATAGTTTTATCAACTTAAGTTATCTAGTACTTGGAAGTACTCTACTACTAACCTACTAGACTATACTTGTAGCTTGACTAAAGTAGGACTCCTCTACCCTCTCACTCTACAAGTCTACAAGTCTTACCCTCTATACTCTATTCTGTTACTATTCCTAAGGATTAGGACTAGTAAAGTGAGTATATCTTACAAATACATAGTTAAGCTTTATAGTATACAAGTAGAGTGTATTATGTTTCTTAGTTGTAACCTTTTGTACAGTGTTAGTACATACAGCTCATATTTCTCTAAAAGTACAATAGCTAGAATGTATATACTAGAATGTAGATTATATGTATAATATAGTTTTGTAATACAGATACATTTAGCAGGGTTAGAACTAATAGTCTAACAGAACTAAACTATATATAAATATTACCTCATTCTAGACTTGAACAAGTAGTCAATATGATTGGACTAATGTAGTACCTCTAGTTACAGAATATAAATTTAAAATAGTAGGACAAGTATAGACAGAAAAGAGACCAGGCTGTAGATTAGGTGTGTTATTAGGAGATCAGGAATTTGGACACCTCTTTTTGGAAGTGGATCTGCATTGCCTTATACAGAAAGACTCTACTGATTAACCATCTATCTTAGTACACATCTTGTACAATTTATACATTATACATTATAAATTTTTTTGTGATGAACAACTTTATATCCTATAAACAACTTGTTTTGCCTAAGAATACTTGTATTAATAGAGTGCTTTATAATTAGTGGCTACACAACAAAGGCTTTGGATTGTCGGATGCTGATCCTTCCAATTTAGGGTGTCCAAAGACTTTCCACCACCCACTTGTATTATGTAAGGTCTAACACAGAATCTGGATGCTGCTATATCTGGGATGCTTCCTACCATATTAGGATGCGTGCAAACAAGTCAAAGGAGGTCCGGTTTCTCTGCCACTTCAGCTCAAACATTCATCATCTTGACTTTCCATCCAACAAACTACCGGATACAGTGTCAGAAGTTTCTTCTTGATGAGAGTTGCGGTTCACGAAGACCTATGTCAGCCTGTGTTGTAGCCCTTTCTTGGTTGATCCGCCTTTTGAATTTAACAAGAGGTTGTCTCCACCCAACGCACTCTGATCAAGCTGAAACTTAGAGAGAGCGAAACACATCTTGGTTTTCTGAACCAGTTTTCTGGGGCCTGTTGTACTGACTGTTGTATTGAAATGATATCACTGTCCGGAAGCAATTCACAATGGTGCACTTCCGCTGTCTATACTGTTGTCGCCTTCATTGTCTTGTTGCCAAACATCGCAAACTCCAGTTATTATAGTATCGGTATGTCTCTTTGACACCATTTATAAGGTCTCAAAACTACTCCAGTCTCTCCAGCGCTTTCTCTCGCACCTTGCCTTATCATTGTAGTGCAAGCAGACTTTCTCTAACTAACAATCCTCTCCCTGCTTGATCTGTGATCGAGTGGTCCGACTACACTGAGCAGGCCTCCAATCTCAATCACTTTCATTCTCCCAGCATTACAGTCGAACTGCGTAGTAGATCCAATTAACAATGCGAGTCTCTATTGCTCTAGTCTCTGTTGTCTTTGCACTGGCAGGCTCGGCAGTTGCTGCTCCTCTGTCTGTCAATGGTACCCTTAAGGTAAGATTACTCGCATGTCTTAACGATTTAATCTGCTCACTTACAGTGTTATAGACGAGAAGCAAAGTCAACAGCGATGGACCGAATTCCCTTGAAAACACTGTCACCAATCCAAGTTCGAATATTGCAGATTTCTTTATCTCCTTAGGTGAGTTTGACTCTCATTCCGAAATTCTCAACCCGAAAGTACACTGATAACTAATTCGTCTAATTAAATACAAACTCCATGGTAGCAAACCTCATGTCTGGAACACAGGCAGGCGGGAATGCATCCGTCAATGTTGGCGGTTCAGCCGATAGCAGTAATGGCGGATCAGGTAATAGTGGTAATAGTGGGAATGCAATTGGCGGATCAGATTGTATCAACGAAAATGCCAATGGAGGCAATGGAGACAATGGAGGCAATGGTGGTCCTGGCGGAACTGTAATTAGCAGGAAAAGCAGATCAGGTATTAGTAGTAAATTTGACCGGGTAACGCAGTTACTAAACCCCTCAAAAGAAAGCAACTTCGTTGACGAAATCGAGGATGATCCGGACAAGACGAACAACACCAAGAGGGGAGATGGCACCGGTGCTGTAACTCAGACTGGATCTAATAATCAAATTTGCGGTGGTTCGGGCGCGTAGACCACTGATGCGTTAGTGCTGGGGTCGAGGCTTGGTAAGTTACATGAATACTCTAACATACACTCACAAAACTGACATACTGTATACTAATAGGAAATACTTAAGGATTTCGTATGCCTCGTACATCGCCTTGAAACATTTACCCATCGAGTGTGTACATCTTGTAATATTGATTCTCAACTGGATTGAGAGCAAATGGAATTTTTTTATATTTCACATTTTTACACCCATGAAGATTGTAGGTAGCCTGTGTAGCCCGATGTAGTCAACGACAGAAATAAATTATGTCTTAAATCTACAACCTGCACGAGAAAGCACAGCAGATTGATACAAAAAAGTAAGGAGGACAGACAAGTAAACTACAAAAAGCTCGGATGGAAAGAGAAAGGGTATGTAAAAGGAAGAGAAATAGACGTGGACTATGGTTTATGTTGTGGACCAGCGGCAGCAGCCCTACGCCGCTTCGCACCTCTCCGAATCTCACTAAGGTCACTATCGACTTCAAGCTCCTTAGCTGCTGTGAGCTGTTGGATCGCTTTACCGAGGCCTGTGAGTGCCTGCGGTTGGACACCTCCGCCTTTGTGTTTGCGCTTCTGCGGACCTCCTCCGCCACCTCCGCCACCGCCACCATTGCCGCTTCCATATGCACCATTGGGTGCAGAGGCGATGAGTGGTAAGGGAAAGGGAGACGGTAACTCGTCGACGGAGAGCGAATGAGGGTTCGGCACGGGTACGACGGTTGCTGGGAGTGAGGATAGACCATTTGCGTTGTTGTTACCGTACGTGTAGCCTCCTGCATATCCTGAGGGAGGCGGTGACCCGCCGAGCTTGTTGCGTAGCTTACGTGTGATGTGAGAACGCGATTGAGAGTCAAGGGCGGCGTCTTATATAGAATAATTAGCACAGTTGGCATTAAGAAATTCAAAGGGAAAGAAGACATACCGGTGATACCCTCACCATCCTTCTCTTCCCTTGCCCGCCTCCTCCGTTCTTCGATCCCTTCCAACATTCTCTCCTTGACGCGTTCCCGACCTTTGCGCCACTCCTCTTCGACGCGATCACGTTCCTCTTCATAGGCAATGCGTACCGCCTCGTGTGCATAATCCTCTTCTGCAGCGAGCTGAGCTAGTTGAGCGGAGCGTTCGAGCGAAACAGGGTATAGGCGTAGCATGTACGCCGACGATGTTTCGGGACGCGTCGCAAGCTGCAAAGCACTTGCCTGCAACGCAGATATGTTTTCCGTATATTGTCTAGTTCTAATCATCCGCAAAGCCGATATGTAAATTCGAACGGTCTCAACAAAATAACTAAGTCAGCAAGTGCGAAAAGAAAGACTTACACTTCCTTCTTATCCGCCATCTCTCTACTCAACCTCCCCGCGATCTCTCTTCTTTTCTTATCACGTTTTGGATCGTCACCAAAGTGACCAGCTGCGCAGCATCAACATCCCTTGACTCAATCACGCGTAATCACGAGTGATGGCTATCATGGTGGCTCACCGTGTAACCTCGAGGACGAGGCAAGTGCCGAAGTATGGAAAGCCAGGTTTGCGTCGTGGGCGTCGAGAACGCCGGTGTTACTCTGTCTACTCTTGTGTGCAGATGCGTAGGGGAGAGTGAACATGCCGGGCTGCGGTGGCATCAGGAGCTTATTTTGAAGTGTGTGCAAGAGAACGCCTGACGCACAAAAGCTAATGGCAATCGACGGAAACTCTCAGGTCACGTGCATCCACACTATTATATTCGAGACGGAGACGAGAAAACAAAAGCACAGAAAAAAATGGCTAGCAGCTACATTGACCAAGAGTTCTTTCTGTACACTTAGATGTGGACTAGATGAAGGCAGAGAAAGGAGGGCGTATTGATTCCGGTCTGATGGGTGAATTGTGCGGGTCATGAAGGTAGTACTGGCATTAAAATTTAAGACCAGCTGTATAGTATCAGTATGAGAGATAGTTTGCTTTTCTTTCTTCTTTCACGATTTGTTCACGTTGTGTCTCGGTGAGACCTTATTTATTTGTGTCTTTGATCTTCTTCTCACCAAGGTCTCCACTTTCCAGGACTGGGTAAACTCGGACTTTCATACAAAAGTCCCTTCCCGCGAGGGAACAACCCAACGGGACTATCCGACGCCCGTTGTTTCGCCGCCGCAAGTGCCTCCAGCTCATCGTCTAGAATTCTGCTTGGATCTGCTGCATCAAAGATCCCGCGCCGCGATGGCGTGCGGAATGGTGAGAACCCAATAAATGGAGAAAATATTTTCCGAGGTGTAATGGGCGCAATTGAAGCGCCTGCTCCAGATGAATTGTCATCGGTGCGACGGGAAGGGGTTTTGGGCGCTGGCTTGAGGAAGTCCAATCGGTCAGCACCACCGAGCAGACTGCCTTCTGATGGGTCAGATGCTTTCCTCCTTCGTGTGGGGGTGGATGGTGGATTGCGCCGCGAGAGAGGTGTTAACATGCTACTCCCTCCTAAGTACATCGATAAATCATTTGGTGGCGTAGAGGACCGGTTGGCAGCGTAACCCAGAAAGCCCGAGCCAGCATACAGGCTGGTGCTGGGACTCCGGGTGGCTTGCTTTGCTCCGCGGCTCGTCGTAGGAGATGTGGGGATAGACGGCATAGTAGGAAATATAAATGCCTGCAACAAGGTAAATGAACGTCAAATTTAAAGTGAAAATAACGTAGCCGCCTACCTCGACGGCTTTCCCTTTCCCTTTATCCTCTTTTGCCACGGAAGCTTCTTGCTCTGTGGGATCGGTGTCATCCTGGACAGATTGGGTTTCAGATTCTATATACTCGCTGAAGTACGCAAATTCGTCTTCATCATCGGCATCTTCCTCTGCTTCACATGGGCTTGAAGAGCTGTTATTCGGGGTTAATGCTGGGACAGAGAAACGGCTTGATTCAGAGGACGGCGGTGGAGCCAAGACGGGGCTGGAGGGAACATCGTCTGGTGCTGGCTCAGATGCCTCACTAGAACAAGCGTCTACGAGAGAAGACGAAGACGATTGCCTTGATAGCTCCTGCAGACGTTGCTCTTGTACAATTCTTGTCTGCGAGTAAGGGGGTAACGGTGGGAAGATAACGTCTTCATCCACAGATTCACTTGGATCCGTACCAATGTGGATGAGATGGGCATTCGGATGATCAGCGGGTAAAGGAGGGAAGATAATATCTGCGTGAACTGGCGTTGGAATAGCTGCAGTAAATTGAGGGTGATGCAGCTGGGGGAAGCCGTAGGGATACGTATATTGAGAATGCATCGGCGGTGCCGCGAAACGGGCCTTCTTCAACTTCTCTTCCTTTAACTTTTCTTCCTTCTTCCGTTTCCGTTTCTCTGCCTTTTGTGACTGTGCACTGTCAGGATTCAATGCATGCCGGTTGTAACCACCATCCGCGAAGCACGGAAGATCCTTATCTGCAATGCACCACAGGGCTCCCTTAGACTGTCTCCCACTCGGGTGTTCCCTCTTGAAGAACTGGGGCGTGTTTGTAAGGTTCTGTCTTATGGCATTCATCCATTTCTGGCTGTGTGAGTGACCGTTGCGCTTGAAGAACGGATAGACAATGCTGATGTAGTCGTATATGTCTTTCAGACGCAAAGCGTGATTGGAGGAAGCCATAATGGCCTGCCCAATGAGCGCAGCGTATGAAAACTCGGGTTTCTCTTCTGAATACGGTCCTGGTGGAAGCTTGTAGGGAAGATCTGGGTCAAACTGGTCAGGAGGATCGCTCATGGGCCCAGGGGACGATAAAACGTTGTAGGGGAATCGTATAGGACTGGAAGCAGGAGATGACGCCGGAGCAGGAGAAGACGATGACAAATGGCTGCCCCCGATTAATGGGTGACGATAATAGGAAGCCGCCTTGGGAAGAGGATTACGCGTAGGCTACAAAAATACGTAACGCTCGATCAGTAAGGAATGTACTTGGTCGGTAGACAGTAACCACGTACAGTCTGTGCAGTACGATTGGTCTGGGGTGTGATAGGAACCTACGTTTAAACGATAAACTCCAAACTCAGTAGGGGTATGAAATAGCGCACTTGTGAGTCATCATCTCTGTAGTAGCTTCCTTTCGTTGATGCGGCGGGAGAGGTGTCTCTATAATGGCGATTGGCGCCATCAGTAATTGCCTAAAAATATTTAAATACAGCGGTCTTTTTACAGAAGTCTGGGAAAGCACCTGAGACGTCCGAGCAGGATGGATATAGCGATAGTGAGGAGCATGTACACCAGCCTGACGCTTCGTGAATACGTCCTAATCAACGAAAAGGAAGATATGATTATAAGATTGCGAAACAAAGGAACATTAAAAAATAAAAAATAAAAAAATTCCAGAGAACAAGACGCGTGTAGGGACGCGTTACTCACGCGTAAGGACTCATCACCAGATTCTTCAGACTCTTCAGACTCTGAGACGCGTCGAGACTGTCGCGCTCGCATCTGCATGACTTCGTCAAGACTAAGCTTAGGACGTGTGGCTGGCGAGCTGGCAGTGCGTGTCCGATGGCGTTCGCGCGTGCTCGTACGGGCGCGTTGAACAGCACTACGTTCTGGCGACTGGTCTGATCCGTCGTGGCGTCGAGAATGCGGATTTGAACACCGCGATATTGAGCGCGAGGGTCGGGCGTCGGGCGCTTCAGTGGGAGACGGAGTGGATGTGGTTTCACGGTGGCTAGGACGCGTTGATTGAGAAATTACTGGCTCATGAGATGCCTCTTGCGCGATTTCTCGACTTGCAATATACGCTAGCATTTCTTCCGGCAGTAGAGCGTGCTCGCTGGCATGAAAATCGCCAGCTGCGTGCGCGCGTGCGATTTTCAACGCGTTTTCTGAGTCGAGGAATTGGCGCATCCGCGACGTGTGTTGCTCAAGTTCGTCGCGCGTCATGCCAAGGCTACTGAGGAGACGTGAGATGGGTGAATCGCTGGTAGTCGCTGTCGCTGTGATGGATGAGGACGGGGGATCCTCCGGGGAAGGCATGGTAGAAATGAGAAGCGGTAAGAGAGAAATCTGTCACAACACCGCGTGTGGGTCATTCGGCAACTCCCGCCTATCAGTCCTTAACTTCATTTGTTTTTTGTATCTCCTTTTACTTACAGAAATGCAGTGTCATTCGATAAGTAGATACAGCTGAACAAGAATGCTACAGAAGAGCATAATGGTAAAAGAAATGTTCAAATAAACATCTGCAGAGGTGCCCTATCGTACATATTTTGACCCTCGCTCAGTTCTGATAAGTCGGGATGGAACGGTACAAGCGCATCTGCAGCACCGAGGTACAAGGCATTGTATATCCGCCAGTACACTTCACGGACCTTGCGTGCTGGGTGGAACAATCCCTGCAGCGTGTAGCTCAGGAGTACGCCGGGTCCAAGCGTCACCCGCATCGCTTCAATCGCCTCCATCACAGCTCCGATGACATGTGGGGATGTCTCGAAACAATTCGGCCACACGAGGTTCATCAGGTGCAACATTGAGTCCTCGCAGCCAAGACCGGCGACGCCAAGAGCCAAATGCTTGACAATCGTACTCGCGGTTTGTCGATGGACGAGATCCCGGTCAGTTAATGCATCCTCAAGCATAGTTACGACCGAATCACAGTAATATGCTGACTGGGGACCAACGTATTCAAAGACGAATGAAAGTGCTTTTAGACAACCTGTTCGAACGTTCAACTCGGCTGTGCGATATTCTGACAAGATCGCAGGGATGCAAGTGAAGGCTGCAAAAAGAAGACCATCAGCATGCTAAAGTAGAAATAAAAGACTAAAATCACTCACGTCCGCAAGTCTCAGCGACGATAGCAATGGCTACGGTACTGCACACACGCGACTGTCGTTCCTGTACACGTAGATTGGTTAAGAGGACAGAAAGTACGTCCTGAGGACCCAAACTCTTGGCAATGTAACCAAAGGAGTTCACAGCCGCTCGTCGAATAGCTTTCTTGTGGGCTTTCAGAAGGTCCAGAAGTTCAAAGCAAATACGCATCCATTCTCTCGCAGGAACGAACTCGGCACCACGATCAGCTAAAAGAAAGCTGTCAGCAATAATTCTCGCCATTTCCAAATAATAAAGAAGATACTCACCAATACGACCGATTAAGTTGATAGATGCTTCCTGCACCTTTTCGTGTCGATTTCGAAGAATAGGAGTCATACGTGGCACTGGATAACTGTTAGATATCATAAAGCTGAAATAGTAAGTTGAATACTTACATAAATCTTTTACTGGCGGGTTCATCTGTGTCATACCTACGACATTGGCAATGGCTCCAACAGCTGCGATGATACTTCCCAGTGTATCCGGGTACTCCTCTCCAAGCTGCTCGAACAATACTAAACCAAGTTTACTCAAAAGCTGGTCTTCACCGCATTGCTTGATGACGACCGCGAGTCGGCTCGTCAAATCTGCGGCCTGCTGTCGAACCTTTGCGCTCTTGTTGTTCAGTCGCCAAAGGATGGTTGAGACAATCTGTACGAGATATGGCTTCACTCGAATTCCAAGGGCATTGACGACTGTACCGAAACCATCCAACATGACTTGATCCTCCGTCGTTTGCTCCTGGAACGAATAAATAATGCCGTCGACGAGGCGGACCTCAAGACGTTCATCTATGTCTGCTGCACCCAAGCTCGCTATGACTTTCGTGATTGTCTCCATAACCATCTTTCGGTATGGTTCTGCTTCGTCCTTGAGGTCGTTCACAACGCGTCCGACAATCTCTGCCACACCCGCTTTTTGCGCCAGCTCGACAGTTGTCTCGACGACCTGTTTGTAGTTGCGGCGGTCGAGTGCCATGCGACGTACCCAGAAGGACTTGAAGAAATCCGGAAGAATATCCTGCTTGATGTACTGCGGCGTAACACCTTCGGTTGCAGCGCACTGTTTCACCACTTTAAGGACAATCTTCTTCATCTCCTCATCTGATGTCTGGAACTCTCGGATAAGAATGACTGTAACTTCCTTTGTATAATAGGAAGCATATTCCGGGTCCATGAGTGGGATAATAAATCCAATTGCCTTCAGGAAAGCCGCCAAACCCTTCCCCCTGTGCAGACGGATACCCAGCCAAAGCGGTTTAAGTACATTGTCGAATGATTCAATGCCATATGGAGCAGCTGCTTCAGCGAGGGCGGCGAGGGCAAGGGCGGTCATAGTTCGGACCTTTTGTTGTTCGTCGGTCAGACCATGTGCAACGGCGTCCACGAGATTACGCAAGTGCGGGAGCACAGCACATCCCATCATGATAGCAATCTGCTGGACAATACGGATACCAGTATGACGAGCCTGCCACGACTTCTTACTGCGACAGACAGCCTTGAGGAACGGAAGTAGTGCAGGGATACCAAGCGCAGATGCGACGACAGAGAAGGCACGCGCTGTCGTGTTTCGGACGTATTCGTCGGCGTGGTCAATGTCAGGACGCATAGTCGAGATCATATGTGCGAGACCGGCGGCTTTGGAAAGGTTAGAGATAATCTCACGGCCTTCAACACGAGCATAATAATCCTCGTCAATGAGCAGCGGCTCGATGACTACGAGGATCTTGTGTACGTACGGACGAACAAGGTCATCAAGCTTGTACAAAACTCGATCAATGACCTTGACAAGTAGATGCCTCTCCTGGTCCTCCAAGGTACGCTCCATGAGCAGAGGTAAAATCTTGTCGAACAGAGGGCCAGCACCAAATTCACGAGCCTTGTCCGTGATCTGTCGCAATGCAGTCTTACGCACTGGCGGTGTACCATTTTTGATCTTAAGGAGTAAACGCATGATTTTTCGCTCTTTCATTTCTTCAACAGTGAGCTGCGTCTCGTCTTCTTCCTTCATGATCTTGGCGAAATATTGTGCATCCTCAGCCTTGAAGAAAGCGAGGTTCCCAACGCCCGGAATTTCAGTGGGAAGCTCGGGAGCAAGACCGGCTGCAGCTGCAGCTGCCGCAGCATCAGAGCCCTCCTGGATATGGAATCCAGCAAATTCGGGAGCATAACCAGTAAGCTGTGGCGGAGCACGCATCGGTGCATAACCCGGTGGAGGAGGGACAATGGCATACCCTTGCGAAGGAAGGAGAGCATTTAGCTCTTCGTCCGTAAGGTACCGATTGGTTCTCTCCTCAAGATTTATTCCAGGAGCGTTCATAATGATCTTCTCCATTGGCTGCGCGGGTTCAGGAGGGGCAACTTGATCCCAGCGTGAACGCTTCGGCGTTTCTTGAACGTTGACATCCGCAGGTGTTGCGTCCCAGCGGGAGCGTCGTTTCTTCGGAGCGGCAGCTTCAAGAGATTCTTTAGACCATTCCCCAGTATCAGGCTTGACATCCTGATTCTCCTTATCCTCAGAACCCTCCGGGACGTCCCATCTGCGTTTCCGCTTCGCACTAGCAGCTACAGATTGAAGAATTTTCTCCGCCTCTTCAAGCTCCTTCCTCGGGGGCGTCTTATCGAGAGCAGCCTTGTCAATCCCCTCCTCCCTATCCTTCTTCTCCTTTTCCTCAATAGCTCGTCTGACTCGCTCCTCCTCTTTCTCTAGTCGTTGCAGCCGCATTGCGTCTTTATAACCACCATCCACCTCCATTCCCTCCTCTGCAGCCTTGAATGCGTCGGCCGACTCATTTGCCTGGCGATTAAAGCGGCGGTTATGGTAGTCAGACTGGCGGGCGGCTATCTGGCGCTTTGAAGAGGTTTCCGCGAACGGGTCGAAATTCTCCTCCTCAGCAAGCTCATGGAACTCCTGAAGTACTTCCTTTGGGGCAGTATATGAATCAACGAGACGAGGCGAGCCGGGAGGAGACATGGCAGTCGAGAGTGTCGTGAAAGTTCTGAAAGAGTGAGAGTACCGAGTCTCGACATGCTGAATCATTGTTTGCTTAGTCATCTATGTTTGTCATCTTGACAATGACTGCAAATGATTCAAGACGCGAGTTGTCTCCGACCAACAATTTACTCACAACGTTAAACCAAAAGTCGTTGATTGCGCGCATTTCAACAGACTAAACTGGATATTTGACCCCTTCTGAGGTGCTTCTTTCACCAGGCCACCACACCAACCAAGCAATAGGGAGATGAAGACACTCCAAGAACTCGTATTTGCGATATTCCATGTATCTTGAGTATACACGCTGATACGACTGTACATATACTTTGCGAGTGGCAAAATTCCCGTACACATATTTTGCAGGACGGGAGTCATTGGATAATATTGCTGTGTCTACCTTGTCGGAAGGTAAGCTAGTTTACAGAGAATGACAAATGCAATACCCATTGCAACACCGTGACACACTGCCCAACATTGCGAGCAGTGAAATGAAACTTATCCGTTTTCCAGCATCTCATCATGTACCTTTCTGCGTGGCGCTAGAGTGTACTATGACCCACCCTTGTAAGTTGTCCCCGCACTCAATGTCTCACAAAGACTATTCATCCAATATGTATTAAAGTGTACTATCCTTAGATAGATAAATACTCAAAGACATCGTTACCGGACGTGCCAATGCGTTTTGAGTAAAAGCATAGTTAGTTTATCAATATGATTCGACTGATGCACAGCCTAACATTAAATTCCATAGATTAAAACCTCAATGTGCGAATCCAGTCATGCAACCAACTACACGGATTCGAGACTTACAACTTGTCTTGAATATGATTCTTAAATCGGAGCCAAAGTTTAGAGTTGAAATCACAATCTAGTGACCTTCCAGTCAGACTATCACGTTCAATTGTGATCGAATCGCTGTGTGGCACCACTCCCTCCTGCCCTGTAGCTGCAAGATTTTGGTTTTGAGGGAACGAACTGTCCAAAACACCTAGTTAAGGCTCACCTGTGGTTGCATAGAATGTGTATGTATTTCCCTCCTTTGAATACCCATAGATGTCAACACCTTTTTTGGCCCATTCTGAAGTGACAGAACAGTCTTCAAGTAAATAAATGAATGCACATGATAGATATCGATTATTTACCCGTTTTCCATTTGATCACTGACAGTATAATTGGTGTATGTGAGTAGGAATACTATACTATATATCAAGCAGGTATTTGTCAATACTTTTTTTCATGTTAGGATCACTTCCAAAATATTCATCCGAGTCTGGAATGTCAATTTGAGTTGGCATTTCAGTTGTGAGATAGATGACTGGAAATAAGGTTATGAGAAACAGACAAGTAAGTGACTACAGAATTAGAATATGAGATGAGTTGTGTCAGAGACGACAGATTTATAGCAAGATCAAGATGCAAAGTTAATTACCACACGTGCAATGTAATGCTATAGTCGGGCGACATCAAATAGATCCAAGGTCGTGCGCACACCTGGTTGATATTAAACACTCACATCAAGCATTGAGGCTTTATGACATGAAATATCGGCTCGTATTTAGGGCAATTGCTTCAATTTAATTATTGCGGGAAATAATCCACACCACAAAATACCTTCACTCGTCCAGGAATCTCTGTCGACTATCCTGGCGTCAGCATTGACCTTGGAGCTGGAGTTCGTATGGGCAAGGAGTTCTTAACCTCGTACAAATATATGTACTCCTGGTTCTAATCAGGGGCAAACAACGAACACAGGCAAGCTCCACGAAACGGGACTATAATCCATTCCGTTGTTCTACCTGCCCATCCAACTCTACCTTCTTACGTCTAAGGTCTAATATCACGGTCTACAGTCGTGCATACAATCTCTTATCAGCATTCAACAACGAACACGAAACAAAGGCGCGCAAAGCAACCAGACTCACGGCGAGTGCCTCAGGGTTCACACCACTCTCAATCAAAGACACGCAAGTGATGAGTTCATCACGGTTGAGGCTCGTGTTCATGAGCTGAGAGATGTCATAAAGAACTGTCATAAATTAAGCAAGTATAATATTTATGAGTGATTAGGGATCAGTTTAAGGGCTTGATAGTGAACATAGGGAGAATGGAATACGTACTGTCTAGTGTCTGTTGGACTGAATTTCGATTTGACTCTCGTGCACTTGACATTGTTGAAGGTGGTCAGTGGAGGCTCAGAAAGACGCGTTTCGTCGCGTGAACCAATTCGCACGTTGCGTCAACGGTCACGCGACGAATCCGTGAATCTCGAGGTTCTCTTAATCTTTCTGTCCCACTGACTCTCACATAGTACTTGGGAATTACACTCATATTCACACCAAAAATAGGTACATTGCGCACTTACAGAGTGCGACTTCTCCGGGTGGGATTCTCTTCCCACTAGTTTATCGATGTGTAATAAAGCTTTGAGTACTCACATAATCCCGAACCGGCGTGTGTCATGCCCCTGTCATCCAAGTTGCGCCCGATCACGGAGCTACACGCACACATAAGTACAAAAGAGCGCTTCTCCTAACTCGATCTAAGCCCTCATCGTTATCATATCTTCCGACTGACCGTTGTTATCTGATAACATACTCAAGCGCAAGATCATGGCATCCGAGGCCCTTCCAGCTCCCTACGCAGACCTCCTCTCGTCCTACAAAGACGCCGAACCCCTCCCAGAGAAGTTCAATGCTGACGGGAAGTCGTTATATAATCCTCCTGGTCCTCGTTCCGCTTCGTACGAGGAGTTCCCGCTCCCGATTGATTCGTCGAATAATGGATTTGACTTTCATGGTATGTACTGTGCTTTTCGTTCCCTCCCCGTTCTGGATCGTCGGAAGGATGTTTTATAAAGTGATTATACTGACGTCGGATTGATTTAGTGTATTACATGCAGAACGTCGAGGAAGATAAGACATATGCGCGTGCGTTGCATGAACGGATTCGACGTGAATTTCCTGAAGTATGCCAGTTTCCAAATTTCAACGGCTACTCCCTTACTCAATACTTGATCGTTGTCTAACTTATTTACTTCTTGTAGCTCAGGATTTATAGGTTCTGGGAGAAGCCAGTCGGTAAATACTCATTGTTCATTCTCGTCTCATTTATTGACATGTTGACATGATGCTGCCTATATGCGTGTCTACTATGACTAGGGCCGCATCCAACAGCCATGTTCGAAATAAACACTTTCAACCCTCACCAAACTGGTACTCTCCTCTCTTGGCTGGTCGTGCACCGCGGTCCCTGCTCGTAAGTCTCCTCAACTTTCCCCTTCACATGCCTCTTGTGGGAACAGAATAGTCTGAATAAGATATGAATTATTAGCGTCTTCATCCACCCGAACACAGGCGACCCGGTCGCAGATCACACGGAACTTGCAACTTGGATAGGCAAGCCCTGGCCTCTGCATGTCGATATGCTCAAGCGCTTCATGCAAGCTCGCCAGCAACGGGCACAACAGGCTGCTCGTCCCCAGCCGTCATAAACCTCAGTCTTGATGAAGAAGTGGAATTGCGTGTATCCGAGCATTTATGAGCCAATTAAATGGAACACCGATATGTGTTTATCGTAAATGCACCGTGTATACTCATGATTCTACAGTCTACAGACATGACTTGAGTACAACAACCGTTAAATAAGAAAGTTCCAATGAATTCCAGGAATAACGTTTAAGTTATGCTCCATTCACCTCTGGTTTGAGGATGGCCTTAATTTGTTTAGCCAGTGGCGACGGTTCAGCCCCCATCGTCATTTGCAAGAACCATGGCTTGCTCATATAGTTCCGGATTCTCCAGGAGGAAAACAATCAGTACCACAGACAAATATTCCCGATTTAGATAGCTTACCCGTCGGGTAACAGAACGACAACATTCTTGCCCTCTGCTTGCGCGATTGACTGTCCTTCTGGGGACTTGAGCCAACGTAGCGCCCCTGCCAATGCACTTCCGCTGCTTCCACCGACAAGCAAGCCTTCTTCGCGCATGAGTAGGCGGGCGGCAGCAAATGCGTCGACATCATCAGTCTTGATCCAGGCATCCACGTCCCTGCGGTTGAGTACGTCGGGAACAAAGTCGTAACCAATGCCTTCCACGACATAGGACTGACCTCGGCCCGGCTCATTTAAAGTATCCGGAACAGCAAGGATACTGCCTTTCTATACGAATTGAAATAAAGATAAGGATGCAGACATGTAGATGACGCAAGAACATACAGGATCAACGCCAACGATGGTGCAGTTAGGATTGTGTTGCTTCTTCAGAGCACGGGAAACACCTGTGACTGTTCCACCAGTCCCTGCTCCACCGATGAAAACATCTACCAAACCACTTGAGGGCCTAGACGAAGATGACGGCGTATTGACGATAGCATTTATAATCTCCGGTCCCGTCGTGTACTCGTGCGCTTGGGGGTTGTTGACCTAGTTCCGAAGAAAGCGCGTGGATTAGGGACAAGATCCGAAAGCATAACGGCTCGTATTCACATTACCGTACTGATTCAATATTATTGCATGGGGTATCTCGCGTTGAAGGCGATGTGCCACTCCTGCGATCGTTAAGGAATTCAGCCACGAGAGGATGTGCGTGTAAAAAAGAAGCTACCTATGAGAGACTCTGGAGAATCCCAAGCTGCCGCGGTCGGAGTACGGACGACCTCTGCACCGAGTGCACGCAAGGTTGCCTCTTTCTCCTATAATTCAAAGTCAACCCTCACGTATTTCTCCACATAGAAGGGAGACACTAACGAGTGACATTTTCTCAGGCAGAGTAATAATCACCGAATATCCCTTATCTAATGTATTCAGCTACTGTATTCTGGACCGGCATTGCATACGCTACCTTTATGGCACAAGCCATAGCAAGGCCGATCCCTGAAAAATGGAAATTAGTAATGTGCCAGGGGGATAGTTATTGACAGCTCTCACCAGTGTTCCCTGACGTCGGTTCGATCACGACGCTCTTTCCGGGAATGAGTTTCCCTTCAGCTTCGGCAACTTCAACCATACGTTTTGCGATTCTGTCTTTCACGGAGCCTCCTGCGGAGAAAAACTCGGCCTTGCCCACTGTGTCATTTGTAAATGCATGGACGACGCCACACGGTAGCAAGAGAACATACGGAGATTGCAGCGAAGGCCTTCGCGGCTACGGATCTTGTCAAGTCGGATGAGCGGTGTATTGCCAACTGCATCCAAAGCATTGTCAAGGACATGAGTCGAAGCAGACATGATTATCAGACGAGGCAAAAGAGAGTGGGGGAATGGGGGGCAATGAAATGAGAGAACTGAGAGAGGTCCGGTTTAAGTAAATGCGGATCGCCGGTTCCGGGTCCAGGTTAACGCGTTCTGGTCACGTGCCAGCTGTCCAAAACTTCGATGATGGCTAGTAAATTCAAAATTATGAGATTGACTGAACAGTGAACTGCCACCATGGTTCGCTCTCATGCTGGCCGAGGAGCTTTGCTATCCTCAAATCTTCCCCAGCTTCAGAACCTGATTAAGAGAGACCCATCGGCATACAAGGAGGAATTTCTCCAGCAATGGAACCACTACAAGAGTATTCTGAGCATCTTCCAGGCAAACCCTGTCGAACAGTCAGAACAATTCAGAGATATGATTACTTTCATCTCTCAGGTATTCACATCAATTGCTCCACCAAATATATGAACTAACGATAAGTTCTGTTCATTAGGTCTCACCATGTTATCCGAAAGAGACAGCCAATTTTTCTGAGGAGTTGTCAAGTCTGCTGCTGAATCACTACGGCGAACTTAATGTGGACACCAAGAAGAGCTTGATATCCAATCTCATCATTCTTCGTAAGAAAGATGTTATTACACCTGTTGAGTAAGTGTTTCACAATATATAGTCCAAACCTGTCCTAAGCCTTTCCTCTGTAGTTTACTCAAGACGCTCTTTCCACTCCTCCCTCGAACATCTTCTCCGACTCTCCGATCTTTTATCCGTAAAAACATTCTTCAGGAAATTCGCAACGCAAACGCACAAAGAAACAACCTTAAGCTTAATCGTGCCGTCCAAGCCATGCTTTTTCGTATGGTCGAGCAAGGATCAGACATGGACTTCGTGTTTGACAAGGGCAAGAAACCTATCCGCACGGGAGACGTGTCGCACCATTCTGGAGATGACGCTTTGTGGGCGGTCTTCATGACGAAGGATTTGTGGAGGAAAGGAATTTGGTTAGTTCAAGCATTTTCATGGTCATTTTCGGTTTCCTGAGACCCAGATGTGTTTTGTTAGGAACGACGCAAAGTCGGTGGCAATCATCTCGTTAGGCTGTTTCCACCCTATCACGAAAGTCCAAAGTGCTGCCTTGCATTTCTTTCTTGATGAAGAGGATGGGGAAGACTCCAGCGAAGAGGAAGACGAGGTAAAGAAGTGCTGCTTTTGGCTAGAGTCAATTATTCTGATATCTGTATTTTAGGGTCCGGATGTCAAGGCTCTCCAGCATAGGAGGACGATTAACAAGAAAACAAGAAGCGGGGACAAAAAGCTTGCCAAGAGCATCAAGACAGCAAAAAAGGTTTGTTACTGCCCCATCCTTACTAGCCATTATTCATTAGATTAAATTATGTCACAGAAATCAAAGTCAAAGAAATCAGACCAAAACAACGCCAACTTCGCCGCTCTGCAACTCCTACAAGACCCACAAACATTCGCAGAAAAGCTCTTCGACATCCTTTCACGGTTCGACAAACGCTACACGCTCGAGCACAAAATCCTGAATATGCAAGTCTTGTGTCGAGCGATGGGAACACACCGCCTTTGTGTGCTACCCTTCTACACATATCTCCTCAAATACCTCGCCGCCTCACAACTCCGTATCCCTACGATCCTTGCTGCACTCGCATCGTCCGTCCACTCGCTAACTCCTCCAGACGTACTTACGCCTGTCCTCCGAAAGGTTGCGCACGAGTTCGTACACCCAGGAGTGGGCAGTGAAGTCGTCGCAGCAGGACTAAATGCAATTCGCGAAGTGTGTGCCAGGCAGCCGTGGGCGATGGAGGAAGACTTGTTAGGTGACTTGGTGGAGTATAAGAAGAGCAAGGATAAGGGTGTGATAGCTGCTGCGAGAGGTTTGTTACATTTATATAGGCAGGAGGCACCGTCGATGTTGAAACGGAGAGAGCGGGTATGTCTTTTCTTTCTATTATTCAAAATTATTGAAACTAAAATGTATGGGGGATAGGGCAAAGAAGCAAGCATGAAAGGTACTGTAATCCAACCTGTTGCTTTTGGACAAGAAGCCCGGACTGGCACCACGGTCATTGACGGTCTCGATGTAAGCAACATCCCTGCTCCTCCCTAATCCTTTACTTATTCTTCGTTTTTATAGCTTCTCGAGGATCATATCCGTAAGATAAAAGAAGCTGACGGCGATGACTCTGACGCCAGTGGTGATAAAGACGATGATGAAGACGGATGGGCAGGCTGGGAAGTCGCCTCAGACTCGGATACCTCATCTTCTTCTGATGGCTGGATGGATGTGTCGTCTGACTCGGAGCACGATCTTGAGATCAGTGATAGTGAGGATGAGAAGGACAATAAGAAGAAACGAAATGTCGACGACGACGATGACAGCGAGAAAGACGAAAAGAATGAAGACGAAAAGAAGGATGAAGAGGAGGAGGACACGAAGAAAGATCCTCCACAAAGCATTGCTGCAACGAAGGTCTGCCTATCTGCACTGTCACTTCACTTCTTCATACTTGCACTTACACGTACATGTCCAGATTTTAACGCCAGCCGACTTCGCCCTTCTCAACGAACTCCGCTCAAAAAACACCTCCACACTCACCTCCAAAAAACGTAAACGCTCCCAACCTTCCCTACAATCCACCTCCGACCCCACCACAATCATCTCCGAATCAGACATCCTCGGCGCCCAAAAGAAACTCAAATCCACATACGCCGAACGCATCGCCTCTATCCAATCCGGTCGCGAAGGCCGCGAGAAATTCGGTTCCGCAAAGGGCAAGAAACGCAAAGAAGCTCCGAGCAGCAGCACGAACCGCGAGAAGAAGAGGAATAAACCGTTGATGATGATTATGGCTAGTAAGGAGGTTAGGGGGAAGAAGAAGGCTAGTTTGGTTGAGAAGCAGAGGAGGATGAGGAAGCATAATGAGAACCAGCAGAAGAAGAGGAAGTAGACGGTTATTATGTGTTAGTGTTTATAGATGAGTTCGTGGGCGTGGTTGCATCGCTGAGTTCGTTGTGTGCGTGCATAAGTAATAGCACTTATAGACAACTACATGATGGCTGGTTCACCAGCCTTCGTCTTTTGCCGTGCAAAAAGGCATGTGTATAGTGCATAAGACCTTAAAAGCATACAAAAGGCGTAACAAACATCCTAGGGCATAAATACACAAGCAATTGTCAAGATCTACGTGATGGAAAGAACGATACAGTGATTAGGCAACAAAAAGAAAAAGGATCAGATTACTACGAGGGGAAAGAAGACAAAAGAAACATAAGGATGACATTAACTACCACAATCCTTAGCTAGTCGGACTCGCCGGCGATTCCGAACCAGCATTATCAGGGAAGCTCGACGAAGTCGGGGTAGTCGCACCACCAGTCGACGACACGTTCGACTGACTACTATTAAACATCGCCTTTAACGCCAAGTCATTCCGTTTTTGCCTTACACGTTCAATCTCATCCGCTCCTCCTGTCAACTTCAACTTCTTCCCCGAGACGAAGCTTTTCAGCTCAGCCTCGAATTCGTCTGAGCGATCGGCCATTTCACGTTCGCGGTTCTTCTTGCTTGCTTCTATTGCTTTCATACGCCGTTGTGGGTCAACTGCTGCGGATCGGATTTCCATCATTACTGTGCTGAGTCCTCCGTGTCCTTCGTCCGGTGGTGGAGGCTTGAATGATCGAGAACGGCCTGCTCCAGAGCCACGAAGTGTGATCACCTTCTCTACATGCCCGTAGACCTCTATGAGTGCTTTCTGGTCTTCAAGCAAATCTTGAAGGAATTCCTCCTGATGCGTAAGGAACTGTTGCTCCTCAACGATATTTTGGAGCTCCTCCTCCCAGGTCTTCTTCCACATCGGTTTCACTGTTCCGATGTATTCCTTGAGAGATTCTAGCTCGGCAGAAACCTCTGCTATTTCCTTCTCGACTGTCTTGACGACGTTCGAGCGTGGACTGACAAATCGCTTGAGTACGTCCTCCTTTAGGTTCTCAACAGTATCTTGTAACTCCTCGACCCGAGTAAGCGCGTTCTGCGTACGCGTGTCCAGGTTCGTCTTGCCTGCGGTGATGTACTCACGTGCACCGCCCACCTTCGTGTTGGACAACTGTCGGACAGCGTGTGTTTGAGATCGAAGTGAGCTCAAAGACTCCTTCGTCTGCGACATAAAGTCCACGTAAAGCTGCCGCATCACACCTAAATCTCGACGGAGATTCTGTACTTCATCAAACTGAGTCTTCAGATCGCTGACTATCCGCCCTGAGGTTTCTGAGAGCACTGAAGCTCCAGTCCATTGAGGTTGAAGTCCGCTTCCTGTCATTTGTGGCACAATGCCATTCGATGGTGGTGGAGGTGATGATTCGCCTTTATGGACAACCAAACGTGACAAACGGCGAGCAACACTCTGTAGCTGTTTCTCAGTAGGTCGTGCAACAGGTGTATCATTTTCGGCAAATGCATGCGTGACGATAGGGGGTGGATGCGGTAATTGGGACATTCGTTTTGACGTGCCGACAGTACTTCGTAGATCCTTTAGCTCTTGCGTTAAGCTCGACATTTGTTGATCAATATGCTGCTTAATTTGGTCCAGAGCTAAAACAAGTTGAGTAAAAGTGCCATAAAACATCAAAGAAATACACACGGTCTATGTTTAGCGACAAGAGGCATTTGTCTTTGACTTCTTCGACGTCCTCTAGTTCATACATAACACCACTAGATGGATCGCGTATATAAATCTCTGGGAAATTGTCCTTGCCAGGGCTGTACGAAAACTTGTCCACAAACAGGACACGAAGAGACGAGAATGATAGGCCCCTTTCGATGGTGACTTTCTTTACTTCTCGACCGAGCTGTAAGAAGACTGTAAGCGCATTGGATTCAGGGCTTCCGACCTTTTCAGTTGACCCATCCCGTTTGACAGACAACTGACGCTTCACTGTGGATTCGGATTTGTCCTTTGATATCAATGAGGGAGGAATAAGACTAGATTGCGACGAAGCTGAGGTGCTCGGCAATGGAGGCAACGGAGGTACTTCCTCATCGACTGGTGACGGCGTGTGAACCATCCTATTTCGTGCACCAAAAGCATCCTTTCCAGATACGGGGCTCTCATCTTCTTCGGTTAATACATTCAATTCACCAGGTGTCAGATGCGAGTCGGCAGCCATTGATCGCCTATTTGCAGTTCTGCCTAATCCTGATCGTTCTCTCCCAGTGCCTGTCATTTTTGAGATGTTATACGTTGAGAACCGCTTTGATGCTCGCCTCTCCAGTGCATCACTCTTCTTCAGAGCAGCAAGCGAGCTTTCAATTACAGGTGCTTGAGTAGCATCATATTGAGGTGTCTCTGGTGGTGTTGAGCCTGTGTCAACTGTCGACGAACTTTGACGATTTTGAGCCATTCCAGCAATATTATCAGCTGATTGAGGAGGTGTAGCGTCATCCACTACAACTGAAGGCACAGGATTATCGGTTAACGAATAGCGTATGACATTCGGGGGGACGGGTGGAGTATCCGGTATTGGGGGAGGTTGTTGCCTGGGAGAAAGTGTAATTGTCGCATCGTTAGGATCGTCGCCACTTCTGAAGGCCGAGCTCGGAGTCGCACTGCGCGGTCGAGAACTCTCCTGCCGGTCAGTTGGCACGCGCTGAGGTAGACCTTCAGAACGAGATAATTCAATCCGACGAGCCTGGATGCGTTCCTCGTCCGCTGCAGGTGTTTTCGGAGGTACAAATCCACCAGCAAAGTAAGGGTCGTCTACCGGAGGTGGTGGCGGTGGAAGTTGCGCTACAGGCTCCTTTTTCCTAGAGGACGATGTTACGCGTCTCTGCTGTCCTTCCAAGGTTGAACCGCGAACAGAGCCAACTTCACTACTCGCTGCTGATCGGTGATGTCTCGAAGAGCTCCCCATACTATCTGCTCTCGACGAACGCGGTGCCCGCACTTCACGCTCAGACCCCTGCGAATCCGCTGTACGGTGTTTTCGGTCCGAGACAATCCGCCGATAGACAGACTGCTTGCTGCGAAGGCCCTGCAGCAAATTTGTGATAATTTGACGAACCGTAGGTAAATATATCTCGAGGTTTGATGGCGTGGCTTCCTCAGATAGACATTGCTCCAAAACGACACGAAGATCCTCGGGGACCGAGAGGAGCTCACTACTAGAGAAATAAGTCGAACAGATTCATAAAAATATATTTAAAATTTACACACGTCATGTCGATGTTGAATGACCTGAAGGCGGCCACTGCGGCGTTGAAGTCATTTCCAAGGCGAACGTAGACGTCGCTGACCTGTGTCTCGGTCATCTTGAGGGAGCTCCATAGAGTTAGTGCTTCGAGTAGCTGTTTGATAGAGACCAACAGGCGTGTAACGGCGGGTTCGACTTGTGGCTAGAGCAGGCGTTTGAGCTTAGTGGACAGAAAGTGAGTTTAGCTCAGAAAACCACCGACTTACATTGCCATTGGACCTGCTGCCTCGCTCGCGATCTCGGTCGCTTGTTCGAGAGTAAGTTGAAGATACAGACTGATTGTCACGTCTTGATGGATGCCCTTGGGCAATGGCCTGTGAAGACGATGGTGTTCGGTCGTTCGACACGGCGACTGTGCCGTCCATGGGAGTGATAGCGACGCGCAGAAAAGAGAGACGGTGCTAGAAGAAGTTAAGCAGCGGCAATGGTCTCACGACAAGTCTATTCGGGTCCTGCCGCGTCGCACCCTTCACCGCGTCCTCAGCACAGACTCGCAGATCGTCTGCACCGTCAACAACACCAACGACGTCGACGACGAGTGCCCGCATCGTTGCTCTTGGACAGTGAGAAGTCATGGTGTATCATAATCTCAAAGGCATGTTCTTGTATTTTCCCATCAATGCAATTTTGTGACGGAGCGCGCTCCAGCCCTGATCAAGGGTATTAGGTCATGTAAGGTATGCGTTGTGACCGGATGCACTCGAGCACTCGACTAATGCAATAAAAGACTCTCGCAGACGAGAGGGCACTCATTCAGAAGGAGTCGGCGGCCATCCGAACATCGTTCAAGGAGGAGGACTCGTATACCCGCCATAACAATGTCGCCAAACTCCTCTACATCCATATGCTGGGCTATCCAGCACACTTCGGCCAGATCGAATGTCTAAAGCTTGTCGCAAGTCCTAGGTTCGCGGACAAACGCTTGGGATATTTGGGTATTATGTTATTACTGGACGAGAACCAGGAAGTTTTGACACTTGTGACAAATTCACTCAAGAAGTACGTATCCAAGCTCAATACTTAGAGTAGGTCTCATCCATGTCCTCAGTGATATGAACCATGCGAACATGTACGCCGTCGGACTGGCACTATGCACTTTCGCAAATATCTCATCAGAAGAGATGTCGCGAGACCTCGCAAATGAGATAGAAAAATTACTCGGATCTAGTAATACGTACATCCGCAAGAAGGTCAGTTCCATATGCGACCACAACCATCATGCAATAGCGTCGATTCATATATCCTTAGGCTGCCTTATGTGCTCTCCGTGTTGTCAAGAAAGTCCCTGATCTCATTGACCACTTCGTGTCGAAGGTAAAGAACCTGCTGACTGATCGAAATCATGGCAATCTTCTCGCTGCTACAACCCTCATCTCGGAAATGGTTCAACTCGATCCAAACTGCCTCAATGAATTCCGTAACGTGTGTACTTTTAGTTGGATTGGCATTTCCGTGCTCTAACATATTCGCATATAGGCCGTTCCTATGCTCGTCCGCCATCTCAAGAATCTCGTGACCACCGGATATAGCCCGGAACACGACGTCTCTGGTATTACTGACCCTTTCCTGCAAGTGAAAGTATTACGCCTCCTACGCCTTCTCGGAAAGGGAGATCAACAAGCAAGTGAAACTATGAACGATATTCTGGCGCAGGTCTGCTTTCAGTATTCTCTTCTCTCCGTTTTCGCTCTCATAGAGCTTTGAAGGTCGCCACGAATACAGACTCAACAAAGAATGTTGGCAACGCAATTTTATACGAAACTGTGCTTACGGTATTGGAAATCGAGGCGGACAGTGGCCTCCGCGTAATGGCTATCAACATCCTTGGCAAATTCTTAAGCAACCGTGATAACAACATCCGGTCAGTAACTCATTTCTATTGCAACGCTTCAACTCATTCAAACCTTCACTCAGATATGTAGCGTTAAACACCCTAAACAAGGTCGTCTCTATGGACACGAATGCTGTACAGCGACATCGGAACATTATCCTCGATTGTCTGAGGGATGGTGACATCTCCATACGTCGGCGCGCTCTCGAACTCTCATATGCGTTAATTAATGAGCAGAACGTGCGCGTATTGATTCGAGAATTGCTGGCTTTCTTGGAGGTAGCAGACACGGAATTTAAGTTAGGCATGACTACGCAAATCAGTCTGGCTGCAGAGCGATTTGCCCCGAACAAGAGGTGGCATATTGATACGTTCCTTAGAGTATTGAAACTTGTGCGTGTCTGTGCAGTTTTACTTATTTTGTTCTTGGGGTACTTAAGCGTGAATAATAGGCTGGCAACCACGTCAGGGAAGAAATCCTGTCGGCCTTCATACGTTTAGTTGCGCACACACCTGAGTTGCAAGCATATACTGCATCTAAGCTCTACACAGCGCTGCGGGCGGACATTTCGCAAGAATCCTTGACCCTGGCGGCTGTTTGGGTTATCGGAGAATACAGCGAGATCCTTCTTGAAGGCGGTATCGTGGACGAAGAGCAGCCTCAACAGGTAACTATTCCCCAATAACGTGCTCTTTTTAGCTGTTATTTACAATTCTCCGCAGGCAAGCGACTCCAATATTGTGGATCTGCTAGTTTCCGTCCTCGACTCGCCCTATGCGAATTACCTAATTCGCCAGTTCGTCTTGACTGCAATGACGAAAATGTCGGGCCGGCCGACGACTAGTGCTGCGCAGCAACAGCGAATCATCCAACTGCTGGACTCTTACTCGACTAGTGCGGAACTTGAGATTCAGCAACGAGCGGTAGAGTTTGAGAATCTGTTGCAGCTGGGAGAGATTAGGTTCGGTGTGTTGGAAAGGATGCCACCACCTGAGATTAAGGCGACGGTGATGGGAGTTGGTATGGTTCTTCCGCATTGCTAAGCGTGTTAGATTGTCTCATTATCTCTTTTCAGTTGTCGAGAACAAACCTGTTGGGTCCACTGCGTCCAAGGAGGTAAAGCGCTTATAATTCATGCTAGACTCGTAATTCTCACTGATATTACAGGTCGATCTGCTTGGAGACGACACAGCAGTCACCAACCCAGGAGTCAACGTCCAATCACCAGTTGTTCAAAACAGCCAAGACCTACTTGCAGAAATCTTCGGTTCCGGTCCATCAGGACCATCACAAACCAGTCCAGCGCCAGCGGCCGCAGCATCTCCACAACCTCAGAAGAGCTCAGTCAACGATATACTTGGTCTTTTCGACTCTTCACCAGCAACCCCTTCACCCGTCCCCACTCAATCTCAATCTCCCGCCGTCGCATCACCCTCGTTATTTGGACCTATAGCGCAGACTACGCCTCCACCGCAACCTCAAGCGCCAGCGGCACCACGTTTGCAGGCGTATACTGCGTATGATAAGAATGAGTTGAGGATAACGTTGACGCCCCAGGCGGATACACAGCGACCTGGTGCTGTGAATATCTTGGCGCGGTTCCAGGTCACGGGGAGTACACCTGCGACTGGGATAAGCTTCCAGGCTGCTGTGCCGAGGGTAAGCTACGTTTTGAAGTCCACCTCGTTTTTCTCTTTTGTTCGTGAAAGGGAGCTGATGTCATTTCGTGTAGACACAGCAACTCCAGATGCAGGCTATGTCAAAGCCAGATGTATACCCAGGCACGACAGAAACGCAAAAGATGAAGGTCATCGCTCCTGTCGGCGTGAGTTTCCTTTCGATACGTCTAACCATAATTATCAATCATGATTGTATAAATAACGAAATGAAATTACAGAGCCACGTACGACTGCGGTTACGCATAACATATACTATAGGCGGGCGTGCTGTCACGGACCAGGAAGACTTTTCTGGATTTCCAAAGGATTTGACAAGCGGTGCATCATGATTCTTTGTTACATTTTTTCTCATTTTGCGCAGGCGACTTTTTCTCTCTCCCTGTTCATTGTGTTTTACTTTGAGAATAGAAATCATAAGTTACATACTATTATGAGGAAAAGCGTGAATGTACGGTTTGTACTATGTTTTTGCGGTCTGAGAGACTTTGAACGTTCTCTTGCTGGTAACGATATCCACTTCCCTTCCCTTCTTCTCTAACGGACTGCAATCCTGACCATCTGGTACTTTCTACGTATATATTCAAATCGAACGCTGACCTTACTCGGACTCGGAAATCCCAAAACTCGTGGAAGATCAAAAGCAAGTAATCGACCACCGCCGTTCAAAAAGCTGGCACAAATCCTTATCTTACAATATTCATAAATGCTTATACAAAAACGAGCAAAACAAAATCTACTGGTACATGTGTTCATTAACTTCAAGCATATCATTAGGGTATGTCATCCTCCGTCTCCTCTCATCAGCGTACGTCTCCCTCCTCTCATCAACGACCCGATCCGAATATTCCACATCAAGTTTCGCCTGCCTAATAATATCCAAATCCCAATCCCTTCTCAACCTCTGATAAACCAAACGGAAACTCGACACCGATCCTTTCTCCAAAACCATATCCGCGATCACAGGATACCCAAGCTCCGCAATTTGGTGTCCAGATAACTTCCGCACTTCGACGCGGAACTTGACTGCTTTCACGACGGCCATCACTCCCGCTGGGTCACGCAAGTCGTCTAGGTGGCATCGGAGGAAGGTCACCCCGTGTGCGACATCGTCTGTATCTGTTAATACGAAGTTCACACCTGCGTTTGCGAGTAGTCGACGACATTCATCTCGTGTCGTATTTGCGTCGTGTACGGACATAAATCTGTAAGACTCTGGTCGAGGCTTGAATAGGTTTGTGAACCATGAGATCTTCGGTCCGGTGCCAGGATTGAAGGACGATGAGCCTTCGGAGATAGAGTATGTAGGAGAATGTGAAGAGTAGGAGTCACAAGAGAAACGTCTCTGGTTTTTACTACCTCGCTCAATTGGCGGTGGTTCAACGATTTGCACATGACGTTCTGCGAGAGCTTTACGTTCTCCGGCATCCTTGCTTTTCCGCAAGGATGATTTCTTGATTACACGGACTTTGTTTTCCTTTCCCTTGCTTCGGGGAGCCGTCGAGATTCCGAGTCCACGGGTGTCAACTATCTCTTCTTCAGGCTGCGAAACAAATATGTAAGTCGCGTCTGGGTCGCCTTCTGCAATCATCGAAGGGACTCGAGTAATCCCCGATGTTCGGAGTGGCTGACACGCAGGTGTAGATGAATTAACTGTAGGTGACATGATACTCCCCGGCATAGGCGATGAAGGCCCTGCTTTCTGCATTGCATTCAAGCGATCAATAATTTCCTGCAAGTACTTCTGGACTCGCTCGTCGTGTAGCTCTGGAACGTCAAGTGGCGGTGCGACATCGAGGACCTGCCAGATTGGAGATGCTGGAGAAGTTGGAGCTAAAGGTGAACAAGCGAGTGTTGAAGGTGATAATGGCGGTGGGCTTAGGATAGATTGTCCGGGTGTGTTTGGTGTTAATTCGTTGACTGGGGTCTGTTTAGCTACGGGTCGTAATACGCTCTGTCCAGGGGGTGGAGGCAGAGAAGGAGGAACTGAGCGCGTAGACTTCTTCCCGTTATTTGCAGCGCGTCGAGGAGTTGGAGGGTCAGGTCTTGCTGGAGGCGGAGATGGTGTCCGAGCTCGATCGCGAGGTGAAGAAGACTTCGTCTTGTCCTCCTCCTCCTGATGCGCGCGCTTCTGTCTTCGTTCTGTGCGCCGTTGAGACCGAGCACGTTCTAGCTGCTCATCATAGTTTTCCTGGCACTTTGTCCGATACTTCAGTAATAACGTGTAGACAACCTTTTCCCAAGACCGCTTCTCGTTGATCAGTCCCTCAACAATGTCCTCATCTGGAGCTCCATGCCAGAGAGTGCGCAAGTTGCCAAAAATATCGACGTCGATTTCAGAAGCCTTAGTTATAGGGCGGGAGATTTCATCTAATGAAGGAGCATCATAGTGTGAAACTCGCTGAGGTTTCGAAGTAAACCAAGGGTGTTTCACTATCTCTGAGATTTTGATCCGTTTGTTCACGTCTTTCTCGAGCATTCTCTTTAGCATGTCTTGCGCAAGAGGATCAATATCTGTTGGCATGTCGAACTTCCCGCAGGAGACCTTCTGAAGCAGAGCGCAAACATCTTCATCGTCAAAAGGCAGTTTTCCAGCCAGCAGAGCATAGAGAATGACACCGCAAGACCATACGTCCGAGATCGCTCCGTCATATGGTTGGCTAGATATGACTTCTGGAGAAGCATAGTGCGGGCTTCCACAAGAGGTCTTGAGCAGACTGTCTCCACACTGCCACGCAGCCATCCCAAAGTCGGCGACTTTTAGTATCTTGTCCTTGTCCAGCAAAATGTTCTCAGGTTTTAGATCTCGATGTGCGATGTTGAGACGGTGGCAATAGTCCATAGCATTAATGAGTTGTTGGAAATAGTCCAGTGCTTCAGCTTCTGAGAGTCGACCGCGTTCTATGATGTAGTCAAAGAGTTCCCCGCCTTCGACGTATTCTAGAATAAGATAGAGCTCCCCAGAAGTCTCCCAGACATCATACAGACGCATGATATTCGGATGATCCACTAGCTTCATGACGACGATTTCGCGCTCCAGAGCACGTAAGATACGCTCTGCATCATCTTCAAGATTTTTCAATGAGCGGCGCGATTGGATGACTTGCATCTTCGACATGATCTTAACGGCAGCATACTGCCCTGTCTTCGCATGTCTGGCAATTCTTACAACGCCTGATTATATATGTAATAAGTTGAACATAACGAAGAGATGCAGGGGCAAACTAACCCATCGCACCCTTGCCGATCGTCCTACCGATTTTCCAAGGACCGATCATGCGTGGATGGTCCTTTTTACGCGTCTTACGCGGCAGCTGCGGAGGCGTGACGGGTCTCGCATTCTCGGACATCGTGGATGCGCGTCGGAGGGAGTGGAACGCAACTCATTTTGTGTTTGTATTTGAACTAGACTCTGAGTGAGAGGCTGACTCAAAATGGCTGGCTGGCAAGCCTGGAATCCCTGGATCGCCCAAAACGGGCATACCTGTAACTTGCTGACGAAGCGTCGATCGATCACGTGCAATGCGATGTCAATACGCAGCCGCGCGACTCAGCGCGTCTTGACTCTATCCACCATCATTTGCCATAAATGCAGGCGACGCCTCCACCAACAGAAGTCAGTCCGGATGAGGAAGAAGTACCATCGCACCATGAACCTGTCACAGAATCCCAGCAGCAAATTGTCTATCCCCCTGCACCTCAGAACGTCAGGAGCCCACCGTTCCCTATTCTTGCAGAACTTTTTGACAATCTTGCAAATGAGCGGAGGCAAGACTTGAGAAGAAAGCGTCTGGCGAATTGGTTCAATGTAGGTGTCCACAAATACGGTATAGGGGCTTCAAGTTGAAACCATTCCCAAGGGCTGGCGACGCGACGCCGGAAAGGACCTTTATCCCGTCTTGCGTCTGATTCTTCCACAGGTATGCGCTGAAAAATCTGTCCGGGTACCAGTCTAAGACTTGGCGTGAATATGAAGAAAGACCGCGAGCGGTCTGTCTATGGACTGAAGGAGAAGAATCTCGCCAAGACATATATCAAACTCATACCACTCGGAATGAAAGACCCGGACGCTGTCAGGCTGCTCAATTGGAAGAGACCGACCGAAAGAGATGTCTGTACTACAGCTCGTATGAAGTTCCTGAACTGATAAAGATGCAAAATCAGAAAACGTCGGGAGATTTTCCGACCGTATTATATGAAGTTGTCAGCAAACGGTCTTCCGTAACTCAAGGCAGTTTGACGGTCGATCAGGTCAACGATATACTGGATCAGTTAAGCCAGAGCATTGGAAAGCAGTATGTGTCACTTTCTGTCAGACCACATTCCGCGGACTTGACCAAACGCACTTGCGCAGGGACTTGCAGTCCAAACTTCTCCAGAGAATTTACAACTCATGTACACCCGAAGAACAGCGATGGGTAGCACGGATCATCCTAAAAGGTAGAGTCGAATCAGCTCAGTTTTCATTGAAGTTAAGGAGCTGACATTTGGTATCAGATATGCAGATAAATGTCAAAGAAACCACCGTCTTTGCTGTATTCCATCCTGACGGTAATTACTCAAATCATCTGCATTTTGCAAGCCATATTCATCGATTAATCAGCTGTCGATCTATTTAATGCCTGCTCGGATTTGAAGAAGGTCGCTCATGAGCTTTGGGATCCAGAACGCAGACTGAATGATTCAGACAAACAAGTCAACCTATTCCGCGCTTTCGCCCCGATGTTGTGCAAGCGGCCAAGCGCAAAGCTCGAAGACTCTATCAAAGATATGCAAGGACAACCGTTCATTATTGAAGAGAAGCTAGATGGAGAGAGAATGCAGTTGCATAAACGGGGGAACGAGTTCTTTTATTGTTCGAGGTATGTTGCTTGTCTTCGTGGCTAGGCTGCCCTTCTTTCTGGACTGACATGTTTGACATAGAAAAGGAAAGGATTACACGTATCTTTATGGCGCCAATTCGGAATCAGGAAGTCTGACACCATACATATGGAATGCATTTGACGAGCGAGTTGACGAGTGCGTATCATACATGCTCTCATCATGGTTTCATCTCTAAATTATGTCAGGATCATACTTGATGGCGAAATGTTGGTCTGGGATCCTGTTTCTGGACGAAATCTCCCATTTGGAACTTTGAAGACTGCAGCGCTAGGTAAGATCCTTACTTTCCCCCCTCCCCCGGGTCTATGGCATCTGACTTTTGCTTAGACAAGTCGAAGACCATGGCCAATCCAAGACCGTGCTGTGAGTCAACTCTATTTGCGAGGAATATGTTAGGAGCTTATAATGTCCGCCTCCCAGTCAAAGTTTTCGATCTACTATATCTTAATGGCATGTGCTTGACCAAACGTTCCGTGAAGTTTCGCAAGCGCAATTTGAAAGCATACGTGAAAGAAGTCAAGGGCAGACTCGAGTATGTCACTGAATATGAAGGCAGAAGCGCTAGTGACGTTCGAAAACGCCTCGAAGAAATCATGGCAAATAGAGGGGAGGGACTCATTATTAAGCACCCTAATTCCGAGTACATTTTGAACGGGAGAAATAAGGATTGGGTAAAAGTCAAACCCGAGTACATGGTGCGACACGTTTTGCATTTCTTGCTCCTGCTCTTAACTTGCAAATTACAGGACAATATGGGAGAGACTGTTGATCTACTTGTTGTCGGTACGTCAAATGCTGCTTTAGTCAAACTCGACGAAATGAACTAAATTGATTTTTAGGGGGGAATTATGGAACTGGGTACCGTAGCGGCGGAGTCTCAACGCTTATATGCGCGGTTCTGGATGACAGAAGAACTGCGTCGGATGATGACGAACCGAAGTAAACTAGCCATTAACCATCTCATAAGTTGACTGACCTATATGATCTACTCCAGGTACAGTTCATTCGTGCGAATTGGTACCGGTTTATCATATGCGGACTATGTCTGGATCCGTCAGAAAAATTGGAAACCTTTCGACAAGAACAAGATGCCCTCATGGTACCAAGCGTCGAAGAAAGGTTATGATGATAAGGGCGATATATATATTGAACCAGAAGAGTAATTCCCATTGATACGTTTTCTGAGTCCGGGATAAGTCTAATCACTTCTCGTTCAAGTTCTTTCATCTTGAAGATCAAAGCCGCTGAAATCACTCCGAGCGGTCAGTGTCTCCTTCAGTGACAGGCAGTGATATTTAGAATTGACTTTGAGCACCAAAGACCAGTACCATCTCGGCTTTACTATGCGCTTTCCTCGCGCCGTTGCTATCCGTGATGATCTGAGTATAGCTGACTGTATGTCAGCAACGGGTGAGTCTGTCTCCCTACTACAGACAATTTCGCTTAGTGAAGTGCGCCAGCCGTACTCGAGAGCATGAAGACCGTGAAGAAACGGAAGATTGAAGAAACTGACTTGTAAGTATTCTACTGGAAAAATTTATAGCAACTTCGCTCAACGACTTCGTATTATCCAGGAAAACAAAGAAGAAACGGAAGGTTGTACGGAAGCCAGTAAATGTCATGCCAGAGTACCGAGGCGAGGTGTTGAAGGATGTCGATGTTCAGTCAGATATCTTTGAGGGATTGAAATTCAGTAAGAGATCTTATCGACTTAACTCGTCATGCGCTCATGTCATGCCTTTAGTGGTCGCTTCCGACCCCAGAAACAGGAATGGTGACAAGGAGAAGAAGGAGCTCCAGAAGATGTAAGTTCGATACATTATTCTGGATCCATTCCCTGCTGATTGGATATTTCAAGCATCCACGTAAACGGTGGTAAATATGTGCAGATTGCGAAGGGGATTGATCCAATTCTTGTGGTTTATGGCGGCCTTACAATACGTGAGTTATTTCCACTGCTGTATCACGAAGTTTTACTGATAAAGCGGACGTTATCATGCGCTAGCTTATGACTTGAAACTTATCATTGATAAGGACATCCACGACATCATTCGGCCTTCTTGGATTTACGATTGTGTCGAGCGAGGGAAGCGACTACCTTTACATAAGAAGTATGTTCAATATACCCATCTAACCAAACGAAAATGAATTTAATGTAATTGAGATAGATATTTCTTCCACGCTACCTCGGACCGGAAGCTTGACAAAGAGTTCAACGAAGTCGGTGAAGGAAACACAGAGCCAAGTACAAACGGTGCTCCGGCTCCTACCGCAGAAGCAGCGAATGAAGAAGAATCAGCTACAGAAAGTTCTGGAGGTGAAGAACCCCCGACTGTCAAGTCCACGGAAATCGATCCCGCCATGGCAGATTGGTTCAAAGTGGATAAGAAGTCGGATGGTGCATCATCGAAGGAGGTACCAAGCGACTCGGAGACGGACCCTGACTCTGATTATGATGAGTTGAGGTTTGACGAGGAGGCAGAGGAATGGGTCTTGCCTGTTAGACCAGCTGCGACGATGGAGGATGGGCAGCAAAGGACACCTTCGGTAAGCTTCTGCGTTTTGTTCACGTTCATCGTCTAACTTCTTTCACCTCCAGACCTTGCGAGAAAGCAGCGACGATGTCGACAACGTAAGTTCACAATACTCTTTTACAAAGATAAACTCCTGCTGATTTAAATCCCGCACCATCCTTTGTTCAGTCCGATGTAAGAATGGGAGAAGACGAGTCAGCCATGGAACTCGACCCAGAGCTCATCTTCAAGCACCTCTGCTTCTACCTCGACACACCCACAAATGCAGAACGCCACGGAATGGAAATTAAGTCGAAGTACAAGGATCAAATCTCCACTTCGTACGTACTGTATTTATAACCACCCCGTCTTATCTCACCCCATATATTTATATTTATTAAATTATAAATCTCAATGAAACGTGGGACGGATTTCTTTTTTTTATTTTTATTTATCATAAAGGTTCGTCGAGATCGAAGACCTCATAGTCGCAAACGGCGGCCGGGTCGTCTCCAATCTGGACGAACAGAAGTTGACACATGTCGTACTTGATAAACGAGATATCAGTCGACGTAAGGAGCTTATGCAGCGGACGTCAAAGTCAGTGGTATCTCTCCTTTCCTTGCAATTCCCCTCCCCTCCTCTCTTCTCCTTTTTTTTCAGCCCATTTACGTGAATCTCCGTTCTCATCGTCGTTAACTATTATAGACCAAAACATCGATACCTCGTGTTAAGCGATTTCATACACGCATGCGTCGAGGAGCATAGTCTGCTTGACGAAGAAGGTAAATCTAAGACTCCTTAATAACTCAATCTCCACCGAGATCATTTATTTACTAAATTTTCTCTCGCATCTGTAGGGTTCGTTCCTTGATTATTATGGAAACAGGGTTCAGTACCAAAAACACAAAACAGTCTGAAGTGAAGAAATGTACGATACGTACTGCATTGTATAATGTACCTCGAATAAATACATCTGAACACTATTACTTGCTGTATTGCCGTGGACTTGCATATGTACTCATACGATTTGATAAGTCAACGCCATGAAGAGTCGTCTATCGTAGGACCCTCTCAAAAAGTCTTCTTTTTTTCACTATTCAAGACAACCAAACACATATTCTACTATGAAAATCAAAAAGCAAACTCGCATACACCGACTCTGCCAACCACCTTTCCCTATCTACCTTTCTTTTTCCTTTCTTGTTCCTTTTCCTATTTCTTACGCAGGACTCTTCACGATAGCAGTAGCGGGAGTACCCGCACTAGCGACAACCTCACCCGCTCCTACTCCACTAGCAGCAGTAGCAGCTTTCTTCTTCGAATGTACGTTCCCATGCCGCTGTAACTGATCAGGCCTCGCAAACGCCTTCCCGCATCCGGGTTCATTACATCGATATGGTCTATCGCCTGTATGCGTTCTAAGCTGTATGAACGAACAATCAATTTAGCATGACATTGATTTTAAGAAGAGAAGGACGTACGTGTTTCGAGAGGTTCGACGACTCCGCGAAAGCTCTACAGGATTTTTCAAGAAAAAAATTATTAGTGTATTTCTAAGTGAATGAGGGGTAGACGTACCTATCACAGTGCGGACATTGGAATGGCCTTTCTCCGTTATGCGTTCTTTTATGTATCGTCAGAGCACCCGTAATCGCAAACGCCTTTCCACACCCAGGGAAGTCACATACGAACGGTTCTAAAAATAGCCAAAAAAAAAAAATAAACAACGTAAGAACACGAAAACCCAAGCCGGTATTTTTATGGACCACCAAAAAGTTTTAGAAAAAGAAAAGAAATACCTACTCTCTTGCGTATGTCTCCTCATATGCTGCTGCAAAGTCGCCGCCTCCGAAAACCACTGTCCACACTCCTTACACATGTAAGGTCTATGCCCCGTATGCGCCTGCAAATGCCGCATAATCTTCTGCTTACTCGTAAACCCCTGTTCACCACTCCTCCCACATTCACCCCAAAAACAGTCATAGCGGCCTTTACCGTTGCCGACGTGTGCGGATGCGAGGTGGGAGGTTAGGGAGGCGCAGGTGGGGAAGGAGAGATTGCAGTTGAGCCAGTGGCAGATGTGTGAGGAGGTGGCGCAGTCGTGAGGCGTGGTTTGGGAGGTGTCGGTGTTGCTTGGTGGTGGCGATGGTTCTGGAGTGGCGTATGAGGGTTCGACTGGTGCTATTGCCTTCCCTAGCTGAGAATTATTCCCGCTCGTAGGAACATCGTTCGGTGCCAAGGAAATGATGTTATTCATTTGCGTCGCATGCTCCGTAGACTGCGTAGAGTTAGAGTTAGGTAATGTTGAGGAAAACGCAGCGTCCTGGTGGAAAAGCTGTGGCAACACCTGAGGCGGGACAGACAACCCAAGATGATCATGGATGAAATGAGTAGACAGCAGGTCGAACGCGATCTCAGGCTGAAGTCCACTTGACGGACCAGTCAACAGCGAAGAGTCAGGGTAAATATGGCAATCATCCCAATGGCATGACAATGGAAACAACTCCTGCGCTGCCGTTGCTGTGTCCAAACAAAGCTTCTTCGCAGGGCGTGGTGGCGAGGAAGAACCAGTCGGACGAAGGTGCGTAAGGTTGACATGTCCGACCAACTCATTTAGAGTCCCAAAAGAAGCATTACAATTCAACCAGCGACATGCAAATTCTTCATTTGACGTTTGTTGCTGCTGCTGAGAAAGTGATTGTACAGCTGTGGCGGCAGCAGTCGTAGATAACTCTGTTTGACTCGGGGTGGCAAGTGAGCTACCCCTACCCGAGGCGCTATCATCTGAAAACGAGATGTGAGGACTTGAAGAATCAGAAGATATTCCAGATATTTCCTGTGGGATTGAAGGGGCACTTGTGATCTGCTGCTGATTGGATTCAGGAAACTGGGAATATCCTGGGAAGTTCATCTGGTTAAAGGCATCAAGTGTGCAGTCCCAGTTGAGCTGACACGCCGCCGCGTTGGCCTCAGTCGGTACATAATAATTGTGCAAGTCGGTGCAGCATAAAAGTTGTATCTGTATATATGCACGTTACATTTATTTAGTAACGAGAAATCAGTCTGATAGAGGGTATAAATCGATGCTTACTGTGTCATCCAACGACGCTGTACAATCCACCCCTCCAGTGCAAGGCTCAGCCGGGCACACTTCTTCAATACAAGCATCTGTACAAGCGTCTACACATGCGTTCTTGTCGTTGCACGGTACCACGACACACTGCTCGGTGCATTTTTCTTCACAAGATGCCGGACAATCTACGTCATCGCAATCGACGACGCAGTCCACGCACACCTCCTCGCCAACGCGAGCCCCCGGGTCTCCAAAACACCCCTCAATGTCCGAAGTTATTCGTAACCTCGCATTACTGTGATCATTTACGAAGCTCGCGGGAGTAGACAACGAGCTACTGTCCCGCTTTCGCTTTGTGCCAGTGCGTAGGTCAGAGAGGAGGAAAGACGTAGGATGGTCGGGCAGAGGCTGGGATTGCGGGAGATCGGGCGTCGGGCCGTCAAAGGTGGCGGATGTCGGGATACCGTCCGGAAGAGCCATGGCGGTAGTTGACAAGCATGCTCTTGCGCCCGTCAGTAAGTGTCAATCGTCCAAGCCTGCTGAGTACCCGCACGGTCAATTGGATCGTGGGTACATATAGCCTTTTATATCTGTACCTGGAATTCACTGTAATTAAGTAAATAAAAATATGTCACCGTACCGTACATTTTTTGTCCCTGCCTTATAAGTTACACGATAATCTCCACCAACCTCCCATCCCATAATGGCCCCGACGAAAGGCAAAAAAGAAAAGGTCTTCCATCCAAACTCACGCAAGGCAGCCCAAGTCGAGCGTGCACAGCTCAGAAAATCCAAAATGTCTGACGCAGCAGTAAAAAAGAGTAAACGGGCTTCTTCTTCAAGTCAGTATTAACATTATCCTCTTTATCCCCTATTCCATACCAGTTATAACTTAAACTGATTGAATGTTATGACAGTTGATAAATACCTCTTCTTCTACCACGCCATCCCACCCGAATCCGAAAAAGCCACACTCACACTCGAGGAGTTACACGATCTCATACGAGACGTCTGGTTATGTCGACACGACCTCGCTCTAGAAACAGAACGCAAAACACGTCGAAAAGGTCGACCGAAAAGCACTAAAGAAATAGCTCTCGAAGCACTCAAGGAACGAGAAGTCGATGAATATAGGACTGGTTTAGGTTTGTGCAATATACATACTGATGAAAAAATGAATAACTCCCTTGCTTGGTTCTTCGTTTCTCCTCATTTTATATTATTTCTTCATGTCTAAATTCTAATATGTGATTACTTTATGTTTTTCAGAAGTACCAGACCTAACACACCCAACGAACGTCGAGCTCTTCCGATTATGGGACGAGATGGCATTAGAATACATCGACCTGCTACGGTTCATACGAATAAACAGTCAAGACCCGTCCTCGGTCGTTGTTTCTCGACCTGGGAAACACGAATCGCTAAAGGTCGCAGCATCGAATGAAATGTCTGTTGATACGTAGAAGTGTCAATTGGTTTGATTTTAAGTGTATGAGAGTTGCACGTATAGTGTATACATCCTTGTTTGTTGTATTTGTATTTTCTCTGATTTGTAACAATGTAGACTTGTAGTATTGGCTACATTATCCACTTGCACAACAGAAACGTGCAGAGGTTCCTCGCATCCAAGAGGATTAAAAAATTTGGTTGTCAAGATAAAAGTATTCACTGTACCATCCACTTCACCGACTCTTGCATTGCATTAGAACCTTGACTTATAGCACATTCAGCAGAATTTGCATCTTTCCACACAATTCACAGATAGAAAATAATGAATCTGTATGTGAGTATGTCTAGTATATTGCGCAAAAAGCAAGGGACATGATTATTGCATAAGAAAAAGAAAAAATTACTACCGATCTTTACTAGCATAAATGACTTCCAACTCTCCAATATCCCCTGGCACATACTTAGCATTCTTATCCTCGCCTGCGTCAAACACAGAACCCTGTTGAGATGCGAAAGTGTCTGTTGGAAGGGATAATAAGTCAACAGGTGTCCGAGTGAGATATAGTCGATGTAATGAGTCTTCTGCTGCCTAAGAAAAGCGGAGAGAAAAAAAAATAAACAAGTATCAGAAATCTGATAGGTTATGGTCATTTTCTAGCAAGAACGCACCCTATACTCAGCCATCTTCAACGAACTCCCAAACCCTTCTCCAAGCTTCTCATCCCCCGAATAAATCCCCACAACAAAAACCGGTGAATTACTCAACCTTCCCGTCTCTTTCAACAACCTACTTATCGGTCGTTCACGCTGGAACTTGCTCACAGTTCTCGCTAACGCCATTTTAGGGTCCCGGAACTTGATGAGTGGACGAAGGTCGAGGTCTCGAGAGAGGAAGTAGGAGTGTACGAATTTTCGTGCGAGGGGGAGGGAACGACGTTGGTAGACTAGGGCTGTTAGTGCGCGAGGGATGGTTGCTAGTGCGTCGTTGAGGGTTGTTGGGTGGGGTAGTGAGTTGTCTGCTATCGAGTCCTTCATCGTAAAAAAAATCGACGTTAACATGTGGAAAACCACTAGACGGAAATGTGAAAGAGTAAAGAGTAAAAACGCACTGGTCGATTCCACCTCAACAAAGGCGTAGCCCCCATCTCCTTCGCAACACTCGCACACGTCCCAGGTCCCACATACGCACTAACAGCAGCTTTCATAACTCTCGTCGGTAAATGCGGATACGAAGCATGCAAATACTCCGTCGCGAACATCCCCAATAACGAATTCCCTAGCGTACTCAAATTCATATTCGAACGTAACGGCCTTTCGGTTGGGTTATGCGCAGCGTAAAACGCTGGATAAGAAGAATGCGTGCAAGCATGTAAGATCTCGTCTGGGTCATGTACGATTTTGGACAACCCTATTCGATGAACGAACGCAGATAACGTCGAGACGGGAGGTTTTTGGAGGTTAGCCCATACTTCTGGAGAGAAAGTGTTCACAGTAGTGGGTTGCGTGGCATTGAAAATAGCTTCTTTTGGAGGGAATTGACGGAGAGAGGAGGCGGGTGTTGAAGCTATTTGTGCAGCTCTTTTGGCTATCCGGAGTGTGGTTTGTGCCATTGACTGCACACACCGTCCCGTCGTTTCTCGTGTGCAGCGCGTTCCAAGATTTTGGAAACACGGATGCTTTGGATCATAAAAAGTCGTGGGAGGAGATAACGTAACGCCATATCCAGATGAAGTAAAAACTGGATTCACTGACGATTCACTGGCTACTCTACTGTAGTAACTGTACTGACAAGTCTTCCTCAACCCGCTTGGCAGGCCCTGTCTAAGGGCTCCTAACTTTACTATACTATAAAACCACTGAGACATCATATAATTTCTCCTTCATTACTGGTATCAGAAGCAAGCTATGAATCCTTTATGAGGTTTCATCTGGTTCTTTCAATTATGAGGAGAGGCGATCAATACTATCAGATGTGCTATTTGCGTGCATACACGAGTTCATTTATGAGGCTGAATATCGGAGAACGTTGACACACCGACTTCATTTGAGCAGCACAAGTGAAACACGGGTGAAATGGGCGTTTCGGCTCCTAATTTGGCTGCTGAGATGGAAGCAGAAGAGATCTGCATACCTGAATAGGAGATCGACGGTCGTAATGGCGAGTCTAGGCCGTTTGGGTGCGTGCCTTGTGCTCCTGTAATTCCACTACTGTGACTCTCCACGCCTTCAACTTCAACACAACGTCTCGCTTATCTTCGCCTTCCACATAACACTAACCCACTCTCGTGTATACTCTGGCAGCAGGCGGTTTTCATTCGCCGCTCTGAGTTCATATCTGGCTGTGAAAGTGTGTTGTTGTTGACCCGTGCTGGCCGAACGTGCACCGCAAGGTCTGCTCGCGTAACACACTCTCTCCAGCACCGCACCATTCTCCTCCCCCTGGCTCTTCGTTTCGTCCTGTAGAGTCGCCACCGTACATACTCACAAGTCTTGGCCTTTTTCCGCTAACATCTCGCTGAACAATGCCTGCACTCACGCTTCCGTCGACGTTCGCCAATTCGTTCTGGTCACAGGACTATCGTAGAGGAGTTGAGATACTGTATACCAAACTTGAGCAGGTACGTCACGACACATTCGTGATACTCATAGCTTGTCAGATATTCGCATACTAACACACCTATTCTCTCGTTCTACGTAGGGCGTCGTTGAAAACGACGAGATTATCGCGTTCATTCGCGTAAGTCATGAATTCAATACTTAAGAAAACGTATACGAAGGGACTGAGACAACAACCACCTCCTTTTACAGGCTCGAGCCAATGCAGAAAACGCTCTGGCTAACTCACTTCATGGCGTACAGGATATCGCAACTAAAGGTATGTTTATCTGGTTTTTCTAGCGTTCTGAAGCCATTTTACCTAACCACGCTTCATCTGCAGGCAATGGATTCAATGCGGACGAGGGTGCTTCCTTGTTAATGGCCTTCCGAGGCTTGCAAGCCGAATCTGCTGCGCAGGGAGAAGCTCATAGGACAGTCGCTAAGGAGCTGAAGGAGCTCGTAGCGGATCCGTTTAGCGAATGGGCGGTCGGACATAAGGTACGCGGTACACATATGTCTGAAACTCGTTCATTCATCTAATCATTATTACGAATTTCTTCTTTCGTGCCTAGGATCGTGTTTACGGTAGCAGAAACGCGGTAATTGATGGCTGGATCAAGACCTACGAAATGGCACAGGGCGAAGTACGTGGTTCATCTGAGAATTACCTCTAATAGCTAACCATGAAAAAATTACTAGGTTGACAGATTGAAGCACCAATATCTCGCTAAAGTCCGTCGTGCAGACGAGGCGGAAGACGAGTAAGTAGATACACTCGTGTTCGCTATTCATAGGCTAACAAGGACGCGTCACAGCGCAAAATTCGCGCCAAACAGCGAACTAGCAGACAATTACACTTCTTCACCACGTCTTGCGCCTCGTGATCGCTCTATTCCGGTCCCACAGCGTACATCAAGTGTATCGGAACGAATTGCACAACGTTTCAAGGAATTACAACGCAAAGCGGTGAACGGCGCTTCCGGGAAGACGTCCATCGACCAAGATGGTAAAGGACACGACACCTCCAGCAGCGTGAGCACAGTTGTATTTGACGACAAGTCGGTCACTTCCGAGCCAGAAGGTCACCCGGACTCTGCTACGAGTACGGAGAAAGAAAAGGCAATCCCGCCGGTGGATAAAGGGAAGGGAAAGGAAGTTGAGAAATCACCGGAGGCGTTGATGTCGCCTCCACCGATTTCGCAGCCCTTGCCTCCGCCAAAAATAGATGCACGCGGCGCGTCTCCGATGCCACCACCTCCGCCTCCGCCGATTTTGTTGGCCGGACTTGCACTACCTCCTGCTGCTGTATCTGACTTGTTGAAGCGTGCCGCGGAGCAAATCAACCTCCGGCCGATCAAGTTCCCGATTATTGGAGAGTACAAGGTCGGTGATTTGTAGTTATTTTGTATGGATAGAATAATTCATTGAACTGTCGATTTATTTTAGGATTGCTTTAGCGGAGAGGAATTCGTCGTCTGGCTCGTTGATAATGTCCAGGGCTTTGGAGGAAGCCTGGATCGGGCAGAGGATGCTGCGAGAGACTTGACTGAAAGGGATGGCGTCCTTCGTCGCGTTGGCGAGTTTGGTAACGCTTTTGAGAATAACGAGGAGGCGTTCTACCAGTTCAGACCCAAGGTAATTGTTCTACTATATTATCATTCGAAAATCGGATGCTCATCATCTCCCGTTCGTAGGCGTTCAACCTCGGAGAAGAATACGCCAAACAGGAACTCCACGAAGGAGGACTCACTTCACCAATCGCAAACCTTTCTCCAATGGCAGACAACCTCGTAAAGCGCTCAAACAACTTCGTAAACATTGTCTCAAAGGCAATCAACGAACAACGTCATTCCGAGCCGTTCTATGTCCGTGCTCGTGCAGAGGCGAACGCAGCAGACAACGCTTACCGCGGTGCTGTGCGCAAGTTGGACCGTCAACGTCTCGGCCTCGAGGAACGTCTTGAAGACACGTTGAAGACGTTACAGAAATGGGAAACGGATCGTCTGCGCGCGGTCAAGACCGTCCTGTTGCAATACCAAGGAACACTTGCAAACCTACCCAACGCACTACAACCTTCCGTCGATCGCTCTTCGACGCTCATCGCGAGTTACCAACCCGAGGCGGACTTACGTGCACTCATCGAGCGTTATCGGACTGGCCCGTTTAAACCTGTTGCGCATGTATATGAGTCATTGACTCATGAAGAGGCGGATGTGTATTTTGGTATTGATTTAAGGAGGTGGGCGGAGGGGAGTTGGGATAGTTTGAGGAGTGATGCGCCGTTGAAGGATAATGTCCCTGAAGTGTTGACTGCTATGTTGAATGCTCTTGATGCTGCTTATCCGGGCTTGCCGAATGATTCTGGTGAGTACTAATACTCCTGTTAACCCGGAGTTTGTTAAATATGTGTAACTAATGACTTGTCGTTCCTTAGAGAAACGAAAAGCATGGATCTACGAAGTCCCTTTGTCAGCTGTACACCACCTTCGTGAAAGTCTCAACAGCGTACCCTACGGTCAACCTTTCCCAGGAGAACTTCTAAGCAAATACGATGCACCTGTAGTAGCAAGCACCGTCAAGCTCTGGGCGTTGGAGCTTGACCCGCCTCTTGGAACTTGGGAAGGCTGGGACGAATTCCGCCGTCTCTACCCTTCAAGTAAGTCCTATAAATTTGATCCGGAGAGAGTTGCTGATGTATGAGTTTATTGTAGTGGGCTCACATCCAGAGGAAGCTAATGAACAGCAGCATATTCAAGATCTGCAAGCTGCGTTGTTGAGGCTGCCTAGAGTCCATCTTTTGGTTTTGGAGGCTATCTTTGGACATATCAAAAAGTTTGTCTTGCTCATCATCGCCTTTCAATAGTTATATGTTAAATATCCCGCATTGCTTAGGTTGATTGATTCTACAACTGTGGACGAAGATAATGGTGTTTACATGACGAAGTTGGCTTTGTCTATGGGCAGAAGTGAGTCGCTATTTTTTATCAGCTACATTTGTTGCTCGCTATACTGACTTACGTTTTCAAGACATTCTTCGTCCGAAAGTAGAGAACGAAATCTCAATTCAGGACCGCCATCCAACACGTAAGACCTCCCTACTCAATCCCTCCAGTTTCATTCTTACCAAAATACCTGCTCCTTTCTTTTAGTCTTCTTCATCGACCTCCTGAAGCACTTCGACGCAATCCTCCCACCAACGATCGCTCGCAAAAAACGCGACTCAGACCGGAAGATCCCACTCCGTAAACGTACTGCTCCAGTCGACATGCGTATGAGTCGGTCTCGGTTATCAGTCACCAACATTGATACGCGTGAGATTCTGGAGGAACAGATGATTGCGAGGAACCCGAGTATGAGGCCGCCGTCTCGTGCGCCGAGTCCGAACCCCGGTGCTGTTACCAGTCCTCGTGGAGAGGCACAGTTGAGGGTGCCATCGAGTGAGGGTGGGATAATTGGTGTACCGCCGCCCCCACCATTGCCTGTGAAGAAATCTCCCGAGCCTGAGCAACCGACGCCGACCGTCGTTGCGCCTACACCCATAACTCCAAAACCAGCTCCCCTCCCAACGGCTCCTAGTGAAGACCCAGCAATCGCTCCACCCCCAATGCCAATCTTCAAAGAACCCCCGCCAGAGAAAGAAGACGATGTCGCGCCTCCCCCAATGCCAAAGTTCGTCGACCCACCTCCAGAAAAGGACGATTCCACTCCTACAACATCAGAATTTAATACCCCAGCTGCTCCTTCCCCAGCTCAAGTGGAATCGGAATTAGTTCCGGTAAGCGTTGCACCGCCTACACCGACTCGTCTCCCGTCTCCACCTCTCTCTGCGCGTTCGCGTTCTCCTCCAACGACGACAAGGACAACGACGAGTGGGAAAGCTTCGCCTTCGCCTTCTCCTATCTCACCTACTGAGCGGTTCGCTGCTGGAGCGGGTGGAGGAGCGAACTTGACGCGTTCTGGATCGGGCGAACAACGTATTCGCGGTCCACGCGGTGCTCGTTCTGCACGTCGTCAATCCAATAGCGGCGTAGGTGGTACATCGGGGTTGAACCGTACAGGTGCAGTCTCACCTAGCGGAGGAGGAGTAGGAGGCTTGCACCGCGCCTCGAACGCCAATCGTCTCAGTTTCACTGGTCGTTCAAGTCCAAGCCCGCGGAGTGGTTCTCCTAATCCGCAGGATTACGAGCCGAAGAGGAAGGGAAACCGGACGTCTGCTGGTGTGTTTGCGAAGAGGGGGTTGGGGAGTGACCCGGAGGAATAAGTCCAAAGTGCATTCGTTGCTGCAAGGAAGTAAACTTGGGAAGGATAAGTGATGTGAGATTTGGTTTTTGTAGCAGACTGCGGCTTGAGTTAAGTATAGGTGATCTATGTTTCTTCGTATATTCATGTTATTGTCTTCTTGTCATGTGTATATATGGAGCTTTACGGACTAACTTTCGCATTTATCTAAGTATGGCTGTATACCCGTAAAATGGTTATCAACGTTGACCGCTGAATACCATGTAGGCTTGGATAGTAAAGAGATTATAAGCATACAATACATAGTACAGGTCTCATACATAAATAGAACATAAATGCATAACATAAAGTATGAGGAAGGGGAAAGAAAACTTCTTAGACTTCCTGAGAAGCGCCTTCCTTCTTTCCTTTCGCACTCTTGTTGGGTAGGAGCTCTGGGTTGATGAACGGTACGACACCACCCTGGCTGATGACAACATTTCCGAGCAGCTTGTTCAGCCTGTCAAACATGGTCAACATCAGTGACAGGAGTTAGGCGAACAAAAGACATACTCCTCATCGTTACGAATGGCGAGTTGCAAGTGACGTGGCACGATACGCTGCTTCTTGTTATCACGAGCAGCATTACCTGCCAACTCGAGAATCTCAGCGGCAAGGTATTCCAACACGGCAGCAAGGTACACTTCAATTAACGAGTCAGATCCGTGAACAAGCAAACTAACAAGTGAACGAATGAGTCAGCATACCTGGTGCACCGGCACCGACACGCTGAGCGTAGTTGCCACGCTTCAAGAGTCGATGGATACGACCGACAGGGAATTGGAGTCCTGCTTTGGCAGAACGCGATTGCGTCTTGCTGTCACCACCGGTTTTACCAGATGCAGACTTGCCACTTTTGATTCGTTAAACGTTAGATATGGATACTGTTGCGTTCGAAATAGCATTAAATGCGTACGCTTTTCCCTTGCCAGACTACCAGACAACGACTTTTGTCAGTCAATTGTATCAATTAAACACATGCGGCGTACACACCATTATATCCGTATATTAGGGTTGTTTGAAGGTTGAATAAGGATAAAAAGGTCGTGGGGTGGGAGTGGTTCGAGGGCAAGAGCAACGATGCGGTGAACGAAACGAGTGGGATGCTTTTAAATTGAGGGAGCCATAACAATGTCACGTGAGATGCGCGTGACGACCTGTACGTAACGGCGACGCGGGTTCAACGTGGGCGATCAGCGTGCCTGCCACAGTAATATGAACCGGCGCCTCCGAAGAAACATGAACAGGCTCTCGTCTGGCATAGACGTCCATGTCCTCCACAGACCCCTCCCGTCCTCCCATAGCTCCGAAGCGCATCGAGTCTCCAATAAAACCCACTCATGACCAGATAGTCGTTCTCTACGTCGTAAGTGTCTAAGAGCCCTTCACCACGCGGCGCGTGTTGACCGAATGCCGGAATTAGACCGTCGTCTTCACAGTTGTTATTTTCGCGTTATGGAACATACCTGGCGTATGTCTGCTCTTGATATCGTCTATCTGCAGACATTAAAAGCTCGCTTCATGACAGGCTCGTGTAGTTATCAACCCTCTGAAGCTGCTCACCATCAGCTGGCATGAAGCATGTCACATAGCGGCTGTGCGTAGGTTGCTCCACCTAATTTAGGGAAGTTGCTGAATCCCGCTTTTGGAACAGGCCATCTTAACAGGAGGGACTATCCTCAGTGTAACCATCGACCCAAACCTTGGCGGATGCACACGAGTCGAGGACGGGCATCCACCCACGATCTTATGTGCAGGTTACGTAGGATCCGCTGTGTTAGGAGGCGTCTTCATCCTTGGAGGGTTCGACACGCTCGTTGCGAAGATTCTAAGTTTCATTCTGGGCATCGGGCTTATTGTCCCGCTCATCCTGGTCCGTGACAAAATGTATGCGCATAGTTTATCCGATTTCCTCATCGTTTCTGCTGACGAGACCTTAATCGACACAGTACTATAATACTTACGTTTCTCTATGAGGGATTACTGGTCGGGTTCTGGTTTATTCAACATGCGTACGCGCTGCTGCTTAGTCTCCGATGCTTACGTTGAATAACAAATCATTCTTAGCTCTGCACTTCGATGGTATTGTTTATTCGTTGGAGTCATGAAGTTCGTGTTGATTTCTCATATCTACGTGATGTTCTAACGCATACTTTAAACAGTGTCTTCTATGTTATCTGTACGACAATTCTTGGCATCATATCATATGTTCTCTCACTGAAGCTGCGATAACAGGGGATATAACGGACGACAAGTTCTTCCGCAAGGTGAACGATTCCGATATTACCCAATGGAACATCCTGTTTCCTCGGATAAAGGCTCCAGGTCCGTACGCTCCTATTCTGTATGTAGATTGTCATGCTGAAAGTACCCTTTGCTTAGTATGGGCAGTGTTCTGGATCCTCTTCGACATTGCCGTGCTTATCGGTTTCCTCTTCATTGGCATCGCCTCCTTCAAGGTACGTAAATTAACCAACATTGTAGGGGAGAAGAAGTACCAATCACCTTATTTCCTCGCAGTTAAACGTGTATCAGATGCAGGCGCAAGCAGGTTCGTACCGTACGTCGACCGGAAAACGTAAAACACGCTGACGTGTATCCCCTTTTCCAGGTGTCTTCTTACCGACATGACCATGCTTTGTTTGGAAGAAGAGTCAACTCCGGAATAGAAGTTACCGGTTCTGCCTCGTTTTCCCGTCTCGTCCCGTCCCTAGCTTGTTACTCACGCTTTTTAACGCCACTTACGGTCAACTGCATCGCCTCACCCAACCTCATGCCATCTTAATCCCACCGCTGCATCGCTTTGTTGTCACTTATAGTCCTTCTTCATATCCATACTTGAGACACCTAAACCTAAATATCCCTCATACTCGCCTCACTTTCATCGCCGCAACGCACCAGGACTCGTAAACACGTAAACAGCACTTCATCTAGAAGTTTCTCTTCTCTGCGTTTCCTTTCTTCACCCCTCCTATTTCCTCTTTAACCTCTATCACCGCTTTCACCTGTTTAACTGCTTTTTGGCCTTTCTTACTGTTTTTTTGGATATTGGATCTTGGACTGCTTAATATTTGTTGGAGGGAGACGGAATAACGGGTAATGGATTTGTTATCACGCTCTACGTCAATACAGAACGTTTCAGTAACTATCACCACTGCGTTAGTTGGCATGCTCGTGCTATCTCGTCTATTGCAAGGTTCTTGAGACAAATGGAAGAAGATACTGAATTATTATTATTAGCCCGCAACTGTGATTCAAGTTATCGCGTCATGACGCAGCGCGCGCAAATTTTTCAAGTTCCAGAGTAAAGTAACACATGAATTAGACGAGAGAAAGAGGCAATGCATGACATCACCACGATGGATTGCTATTTATCGTTATACCATATGTGTATGTATGTATGAGATACAAGTGTAATTGTTTTTGTTTGAGTCAATGAAAGGAATTTTAGGGAAGTGGAGTGTGAGGTGTTTCGAGGTGTTTGAGAATGTACAATAACCGTAAATATGTATTGAAGTTGGAATATCGTAGAACGAGTGAAGGGAAGTATTTATTGCAAGTCAGTTCGTCATGACGTTTTTTCCGAAACCAACGTCATATTGCGCCACGTCCCGACCCAGACCCAGATTCATCGAAACACCAGCCCAAAGAGAATGCATGACGGGTGTATACGATACGACAAGGTGATGGTTGAAAAGACAAAAAGCAGTAAAAAAAGGAAGGGCGGGAGTAAGAATAACCAACTGAGAGGTAGAGAAATCAATTGCGGTTTGCTCGCCGAATAAGAGTTGCAAGGAGGAGTGTGCCGATTGCTGCTGCACCGCCTGCAAGTGCGAGGCCAATGTATCCTTCTATTTATTTGAGAAGAAAAGATGAATGTAAGTGGTGTATTCCGGCAACCGTGAATGAAGGAATGAAGAGGGTTACGCACCCCGTGTCATCTTCTGGTCTATCAACTCGGCGAGACTCTGGGCTTGCATGTTGTGCGGTTCTTTGTCAAGCAATAAACCTAACACCACGTCCGACGATTAGTTAGTGTATAGCAATAAAAAAGAAAAAAGAAGTAGAGCAAATGAGGCAAGACAAACCATTAAATCGTTTCGCCTCCTCGTAGTTCCCCATCTTGTACTGTCCTAAAGCGAGGTAGTACAAACACTCCCGCCTTCGTGCAGGCTCCGCTCTGTATATCTCTATCATATGGAACACTCATTAGTAAAACAGCAAACACAAAAGTAAATAAAGGAGATGCAACATAAGGTGCGCAGGCCGAAACAAATAGAAGACACGAAAACCAGTTCGAAATGAGAATGAATAACTCACCCTGCAACAACTTAACACCATACACCTGATCCTCATACTTAGGGCTCTTCACAAGTCCCCAAGCGTAATTGAACTTGCTTTGCACAGTGACGTGTCCCGCTTCGGTCTCCTTCTCGTATTGCAGTCTTAGCACCTAGGAGTATGAATACGTCAACAAACCCAAACCAACTTCAGTCAACCAGATCCAATAGAATCAGTTAACATACCTCGAGCTCATCGTAGGATAATGATTGTTCGGCGTCAGCTGCGTAGGGCACTTCGGTGGTCATTATGACTTGTCGTGGACTGTAGTACGTGGACGAGCGGAGAGGCTAGAGGAGAGCAGACGAATCGCTGCGGACACTTTCGTGCCGGAGGCGGCACCGCGCCTCGACCATATTCAGCATTCCGTTCTCACGATAACCCACTGCTCACCTTTTATCACTTAGGCGATTTACACAAAATCAAAGGACTGAAGAAACTTGAAAACTATTGATTAAGTAGGGTCCGACTTGCTTCTACTTATCTACTTCCACTGCCGATACATTGAATACTGCTACATCTGTTCTACAGCAATTATTCCTCTACATCCACAATGCTCTACACCCAAAACAATTAGTTCAATGGCTTGCGGACCAGGAGAGATCGGCCAGTCATATCTACAATTTCAAACAACTAAGTCAGAATCTGAATCGCAATAACAACGAAAGGACGTTTACCCTGTGGTTTCTCCAAACCCATCAAATCCAGGATAGTCGGGGCGACATCACAAAGTGCTCCAGCCTCTTCATCTTCACCCTCCTTGTCCTCAACGAATCCGTATTTCTCCGGTTCGCCAGTCATAATGAACGGGACCTTATTCGTAGTATGCGCGGTATGCGGCTCGCCAGTCTCAGGGTTGATCATCTGTTCCGCGTTTCCGTGGTCTGCTGTGATGAGCAGAATATATCCCGCTTCCTGACAGGCCTTGTACACCGTACCAACTGCCGCATCCGTTGCAGTGATCGCTTCCACAGCTGCTTCATACACACCAGTATGACCAACCATGTCTGGCGGAGCAAAGTTGCACATGATGAATTCATGTTCCTTTTTCTTCACAAGCTCAGCAACCTTGTCCGCGACGCCCTGAACGCTCATCTCGGGCTGCTTGTCGTAAGTCGGAACTTTCGGAGATGGAATCATGTGTCGCTCCTCGTTCTCGAACTGCTTCTCTACACCACCGTTGAAGAAGAACGTAACGTGAGCGTATTTCTCTGTTTCTGCAACGTGTGCCTGCTTGGCGCCTTGTTTCGAAAGTGTTTCTGCCAATACGTCTGTCATTGCCTGTGGAGGGAAGGCGACTGGGAACGGGAAATCGACGTTGTAACGCGACATCGTCGTGATACCCTTTTTAATTACTTTAAGCGAAATGTAGAGCGAGAGAAGCAATTAAAGACTAACGAGATCTTTTGGTACATCGACTTCCAAAGGCTTCTCATCAAGACCAAACACAGTGACAATCTCGCGCATACGATCAGACCGATAGTTGAAGAAGAAAAGGGTGTCGCCGTCTAGAAAGCAATGAACTCAGCATTGAAGAATATGAAACCGGGAATCCTTTTAGTGTACCTTTGATTCTCCCTTCATCACTGATAATAATAGGCTTCAAGAATTCGTCGGTTTCACCCTTCTTGTATCGGTCCTCGATTGCCTGGACTGGATCTTCGGCTTTCTCGCCTTCACCTCTGACCAAGCCATCAACAGCAATCTTGATGCGTTCCCATCGCTTGTCCCGGTCCATAGCATAGTAGCGCCCGATTATCGTTGAAAATTCACCATATTGCTCTTTCTCGAGAAACTCCTTGAGCTGCTTCGCATAACCGGCACTAGATTCTGGTGCAGTGTCGCGTCCGTCACCAAAGAAGTGCACAAAGGTTTTTGGTACGCCCTGCTCTTTCGCAGTCTCTAACAAAGCGAACAAATGTCTAATATGTGAGTGTACACCCCCATCGGATATCTATGGCAATAAGTCAGTGAAAACGTGAAGCCGCCACGGTATTTATGCGAGCTTACAAGTCCGAGTAGATGCAAGCGGCCGTTACCCTCCTTGGCACGTTTGCAAGCGTCGAGGATCTGGTCCGTCTTGTGGAACTGACGCTTCTTTATCGATTGGTCGATGCGTACGATATCTTGCCACACGATGCGCCCTGCACCGATGTTCAAATGTCTGACGTATAAATAATGTGGCGAATTAGCAAATGCATGCAAGTGCAGAACGCGCATATACTCACCCGACTTCCGAGTTACCCATAAGACCTTCATTAAGCCCGACAGCAATTCCATGCGCACAAAGTTGGCGATGACTGTGATCTTTTGAGATAGTATCCATGTTTGTCGTTGTGCCAGCGTCAATGGCATCGCCCTTCATATGTTTCTCTGGCGCGATTCCCCAACCATCGTGAACACTACACAGAGTAATTGGAACATCTTAGCTACAGACTTTTAATGAATCTACCATCGACGTACATCAAACAGACTTTTTCCTTGACCTGGGCCATAGCTGGAGTGGAGGCAAGAGAGTAGGTTGGGGATAGATCGCGGAAACCCGTAACTTCACCACCGCGAATAAATCTCGCACTGCTCTTCCGCATTAGGTGCGTCGATCATCACATCACGGCAAAAGACGGCGGTTCCGAAGAACAAGTGTGGAGACAGACAGAATGCACATAATCAAATCTCACGAGAAGCCCCGCTTCTTTCCTCTTTCTTTGACTATCATCATCCAACCGTTGATAGTCTAAAGATGGACAAACGGCATTCGGAGATGTCCCTGCCTTCCGCTGCGTCATCCGCTTACGATTCGGATGCAAATCGTAGACGAAAGAACTTAGGTCGAGCCGTTCTATTGTGTACCGGTCTGGTTGGGCTTTTAGTCGGGTTTAAAGGTCTATTGCGCCTCCACGGGCATGTCTGTGGAGGTAATGTCAATGGCATTTGGGATGCTCTTGACCAAACAGGGATTTTGGATATTTCCAAACAGGCACAAGACCTCTGTCCTCAGGCTGATGAGCTCTCCCCCGTTAGGAACAAGGCAGTATGGGATGCCTTCAATTCTCAACTCAGTACAGATGAGTTCAAAACGAAGGCTATCAACTGGCTCAGCGGTTCTGTTAAAATTCCGTAAGTGCTGTCTCTGATATTACACACACCTAATATTAACGGTGATGCCTTTTAGGACCCCGTCTTTTGACAAGATGGATCCCGTAGGCGTCGATCCTCGCTGGGAAGCATTTGCGCCATTCCACGAGTACCTGGAGGAGTCTTTCCCTCTCATGTCAGTTTCCGTGTCCTGCACTCGCTCAAATTTTCATTGAATTTGGTTCAAATAAGTCATTCGAAGCTGAGCCTAACAAAAGGTACAAGACCACCTTTACAAGAATTATTACTTTAGTTACTAAACGGAGTACCTAGTCAATACATATGGCCTGGTATATGAATGGGAAGGCTCGGATCCATCGCTCAAGCCTTTGCTCTTAGCCGCCCATCAAGGTATCGTAATACATTTTATCAGTGAATAGGTATTGTTAATTACAGTTCAGACGTTGTACCCGTCGATCCAAGAACTGTTGATGAATGGGAGCATCCACCATTCTCTGGGTTCTATGATGGTATAACAATTTCATTCCTGCCAACTACTGGGCTTCTTTTAACTCTGTTTAGGTGAGAGGATTTGGGGTCGCGGTAGTAACGACGACAAGAGCGGACTCATCGGTATTATGTACGCATCCTGTACTTACCATTGATGACATCTTACATGAATTTGCGTAGGTCAACGATTGAGACCCTCGTGAAAGCCGATTTCCAACCAACCCGCAAGGTCGTTCTTGCGTCTGGCTTTGACGAAGAAACGTCTGGTCTTCATGTACGCATATCCACCTTCAGCATTCTACACACCGAGGCTAACTCGAACCTCGTTTATTCTCCTCTAGGGCGCTCATGAGATCGGTAAATACTTGGAATCCACCTATGGCGAAGATGCGTTCGCTATGCTCGTCGACGAAGGCGGTTTGTACCGCAGCATATCTTCCTATTCTTGTTACTCATTGATCGCTAGGAGGATACAGTGAACAGTTCGGCGGTATCTTCGCAGTTCCTGCTATCGGTGAGAAAGGGTACATTGATACACGCGTAGAGGTCTCCACTCCTGGAGGACATTCGAGCATTCCTCCGTCTCACACTGTAAGTGATTCTTCTATAAAACTAACATGTGTCCATCAATTTGCGTCTGCAGAGCATCGGTATCTTATCCTCTCTCCTCGTTGCATACGAGTCAAATCCAATGAAGCCAACTATCGATCGCACGACGCCTATCTACGGTATGATGCAATGCTTGGCTGAGCACGCACCGTCAATGGATAAATCACTCCGCAAGATAATCCTTAAATCGACGAACTCCGATAAAACCCTGCACAAGCTCGAGGGTATTATCGAGGATGACCTTGCTTTGAGGAGTTTCGTTGGTACGACTCAGGCGATTGACCTTATCCAGGGAGGTGTCAAGACGAATGCACTACCTGAACAGGCCTGGGCTGTGATTAATCACCGTATTGCAACTCAGGGGTGCGTATGCACTCCCCGTAGTACCTATATACCGTTCATCCTAATTCCGAATAAGTTCTGTTGAAGCCGTCAAGGAGCGCGACACGAAAGTTATCGTCGAGCTAGCAGAGAAGTTTAATCTCACATACAACGCCTTCGGTCAAACCCTGCTTTCTGGCGGGAGTGGATCGCTCACGCTGTCGGATGCATGGGGAACAGCGCTTGAGCCAGCTCCAGTGACTCCAATAGATGCGGCTCCGTACAAGCTCTTGTCGGGAACAATTCGATCGGCATACGCTGTGAATCATGACGAAGATATCAAGATTGCACCAGGGATAATGACAGGAAATACTGGTAACTAGGTTTTTGAAATGATGTCAAATTCAAAGTTTGATGGATCGCTTTTTGTTGCAGACACACGCTACTACTGGAATCTTACCAAACACATCTTCCGTTACAATCACAACCACAACATGTTTGCTGGTGGACGAGTTGGTGGTGGTGTACATACGGTCAATGAAGGTATATGACTTTCTAGTTGTTTAGTTGTTAACGTACTCCTTCGACTTACGAACCTTGGCCAGTGATTGTCGTTGATGATTTCCTGGAAATGATCCGCTTCTTCTCGACGCTAATTTTGAATGCAGATGAGTATGAGCTCTGAGATGCAGGCGCGATTTAGGATGAAGACTTTCTTGGATATTGCGGATGTAAAACTAGTGAATAATCTTTGTCGAATGCAATGCTTTCTCCGCTTGAGTATTTCTTGTATTGTACAACATAGTACAAGTCATGTTTTTGTCAAATTACAATTAGTATTGGAGTTTACCACAAACCACTTTGATAGTTCTATGTATCCTTTCCTCTTCCTCTTCCTATTTACACAACAAGAAGTGAACCCGACATACCACCATTGCATTGTATACGACAGTTCCTATCCTGTTAACTACACTCGAAGAAAGGGAAATGTCTGTAGATCATCTGCCTTTATCTCATCTGGATCGGCAGTCCTAATTTGGGTATCACTGGTCAGATTGGATACTTCCGGTTAACCAGCTTTACTCAAGCGGTGAAGAAGAGAAGATGTTCGCCACACCAAGTCTGCCTTCGAGTGTCCTTTTGACATTTACATTCAAGAGATATATGCAATGAGCAGTGCAGAGGGAGGTCAGCACGGCTCGGGAGGCCAGCCACATTCACGAATCCCGGAGAACGTACCATCCACACGCAAGACCTGGGAACGAATCGCTTTCTTATGCGTGGGCCTTGCTGGCATCTTCGTTGGACTCCATGCCATTCAACTTTACGAAGACATATCTCAAGATTCGTTTGGAATCGGTTGGAATATACTAAGAGTTCCTTCGGTCCTTGAGTGCATTCGATCTGGACTACTTCTAGATCCGCCACAAGACCTCTGTCCACAACCCGACGAGCTTCTTCCTGAAAAGAACAGAGCAATATGGGATACTTTCAGCGAGCGTCTCGGTACAGAGGAGTTTAAGAGTAAAGCTGCTGATTGGCTTGGTGGTGCTGTCCGAATTCCGTGAGTTGTTTCTGCACCGCATGCTTAAATGGAGATTCATAAAGGTCTATCAATAAGAACGGAAGCTTTTGATGATATGGGTCCGGTAGATGATGATCCTCGTTGGGAGAAGTTTGCGCCTTTTCACGAGTATCTGGAGAGGACATTCCCTCTCATGTAAGTTGCGTTGGTCATTTGAAGCATACGTCATTTGCTGAGTTCAGATAGTCACTCTAATCTCAAACGGACTAAAGGCAAGGACGTATGTCATCTGGTATACTTTGCATGTCTGAGTGGTCTCCGCAGTGAATACATACGGTCTTATCTACGAATGGGACGGATCAGATCCTTCACTCAAACCGCTCCTTCTCGCCGCTCACCAAGGTCTGTTATGGTTTACTTTATGAATCTCGTTCGTGCTGAACGCAGACTAGATGTTGTTCCTGTTGATCCAACAACCGTTGGTGAATGGGTTCATCCTCCATTCTCTGGATTGTATGATAGTATTGCACTTCTTCCCCTAATCTCCTCTCTTTTCACTAAGAACTATTCTAAGGTGAAAGAATTTGGGGCCGGGGAAGTGTAGACGATAAGAATGGTCTTATTGGTATTATGTATGTAGTTCTGTTGACCTTCGCTTAAACAGCTTCCTTATTAGAATCGCGCAGGATGACGATCGAAACTCTTCTCAGTATCAACTTCCGTCCAAGCCGTAAGATCGTTCTTACATTTGGCTTTGATGAAGAAGCTTCTGGACTGTTTGTCAGTTTGTCCTTCAATGGTTTGTGTATTGTGGGCCTAAAGATGGTGATAGGGAGCCCATGAACTTAACAAACACCTAGAAGCAACATTTGGCCATGACTCATTTGCTATGCTCGTTGATGAAGGAGGTACGTGTTCGATCTTTAGCTTTGTAACATAATCTAACGGTTTGCAGACGGTTTCTCTGAGCAGCACGGTGCCCTATTCGCTATCCCCGCTATTGCAGAGAAAGGATACATGGATACATGGATTGAGGTTTCAACTCCCGGTGGTCTTTCCAGTGCTCCACCTACACACACGGTAAGCTGTTTCAATTGAGCCGGGAGACATTGCTTAAAATTCTCTTGCAGGGAATCGGTATGCTTGCTGCTCTCCTCGTCACGTATGAAGCAAACCCAATGAAAGTGCATATTGATCGTAGCAGCCCTGTCTACGGTATGATGCAATGTATGGCGGCGCATGCACCTTCAATGGACAGCAAACTACGTAACGCCATTATAAAGTCGACCAAGTCGGATAGGGCGCTTCGTGCTCTTGAAAAACTCGTGGAAGATTATCCAGAACTCTGTAGTTCAATATCCACAACGCAGGCGATTGACCTTGTCCAGGGTGGTGTCAAAGTTAATGCGCTCCCTGAACAAGCATGGGCGGTTATTAATCACCGTATTGCAACACAAAGGTACCCTTCTTCTATACTTCCTCGTGTTCGACGAAACGCTTACTTTTATCGCATTCGCAATCTACCTTAGCTCATCGCATGCTGTCAAGCATCGCGATACGAACGTCATTATCGAACTTGTCAAGAAGTTTGACTTGACGCTTAACGCATTCGGCGAGACCTTCTTCAATGGTTCTAGCGGTTCAGTTGCACTCTCGACTATGTGGGATTATGCGCTCGAACCAGCACCAGTAACGCCTACGGATGCGGCTCCTTATAGATTACTATCCGGAACGATACGCTCAACGTATGCTTCACATCGGTCGTACTCGAATAGAGATGAAATAAAGATTGCACCAGGAATAATTTCTGGGAATACAGGTTTGTCTTCTAAACTCCAAGCACCTCCAGAAAAGAGCCTAATGCTATTTGCTTTTACAGACACCTGCTCTTATTGGAATCTTACGAGGCATATCTTCCGGTATAATCACCAGGACATGAGGCTTGAGAACAAGGTCCCTGGTGGAATACACACTGTCAATGAATGTAAGCTGTTTTCTGAACCTCTCTACACAGACGATCCGAATCTGATTTCTTTCAAGCATTTGCTATCGACAATTTTCTCGAGATGATTCGGTTCTTTATGACACTCATTTTGAACGCTGATGAATACGAGCTTTAGAGGGATCTAATGGCGGTATATTTCAGTGTTAGGCGTGTGTTTACTCAGTAAATTATTATATGTATTTATTTGTAGAGTACTACTTGGAGTAATTTCAAGCTAAAAATATTAGACGCCCACCAAGCGCTGACGCATTTCTCACACGCACCATGACCTGTACTGCAAATGGTACTCACGTTATTCCATTACGCCGGCAAACACAATCTCTTCATTCTTCGTTCTCGGGTTGTTTAAAATATTTTGTGATAAATGCAGCAAACAGATGACCTTGCCAACCGTCCAGAATTCGCGCCAGTCGTTGAATATGGCAAACGGATCCTCGACCATCTCGCTACTATCCGTGGACGCACTGTCATCCCACCCAAATCACGGAGTGCTGTCCTAGGCAAACACGAAGCGTTTCTAGCAACTGAGGGTGTACAGAGTAGTTCAGCCGACGGCGAGGCACCATTGATATCATACTTGTTCAATCGCTCGCCTGCGTCGCGAACGCCATTAGCGGAACTCAAAAAGATCGCGCTTGGGGAATTACGATGGTGCGAAGTGATGCGCGGACGCGTATTGGTCGTTCGTGCGATCGCTCAGCCGTGTGTTGTTGAGGGTGCGTTATGTGCAGTTATCGAGGACGAACACGGCGCTGTGCATAACTTACGTGTGTACAATGTCGAGTACACCGATGCGCGCAATGTACTTCCGTTCGGAGTTCCTCTGGCTATTAAGGAACCGTATTGTGAAGCCGCTATGGAAGATACGAGTGGGGTTAGAGTCGATCACCCTTCAGACTTGGTCTACCTCTCAGAAGGAGATCCGCACTATCCGGAAAACTGGCGAACGACGTTCCCGGATGATCTTCCCTGCTCGCCAAGCGAGAAACTGAAAGATGAGGGGAACGAATGCTTCAAGAAGGGTCTGTACAGAGAAGCTATATGCAAGTATGTTTCCATTCTCAGTATATTTTATTCACGGCAAGCATTCTAACAGAGGTTTTGAGTAAAGATACACCGCTGCACTTCGCCGAGATCCATCCCAGGCGCTCAAAACTTCAATTCTACTCAATCGTTCGCAGTCCCACCTATTATTAGGCTCATATGCGAAAGCTGTCGCAGACGCTGAAGAAATCATCAATGCGCCTGGAGACCAGCCAAACGAGAAAGCCCTCTTTCGCGGCGCTCGTGCGTTGTACGCATTGAGCCGATACGACAAAGCACAAACCTTCTTAGAGCAACTCACATCTGCGTTCCCGCAAAACAAGGATGCGAAGGTCCTTCTTGCGAAAACGGAAATTAGGCTAGCTGAACAACAGTTTGGCAAGTACGACTGGGTATTGTTGATCAGTGAAGCAAGAAACCCCACTCCCCGAGCTGAAGCTGCTGATTACATGGGTCCTATTGGTCTATGTGACAAGGGCTTCCTCACCGCAAAGAATGATATCAAAGCCGGAGAGCTGCTCTTATGTCATAAGGCCGTTGCTGTTCTCTATCCCCCGGAAATGAAGGATGAGAAAAGTATGCTGATCTATGATACTGTGAAGGGAACCCTGGGTAGAGGAGAAGGCTTGAAGCTGACGCAAAAGGTTGTGGACCGAGTCTCGCATGATCCCACCTTAAGGGAGAGCGTCTATTCCCTAGCAAAAGGGTTGAAGATTTATGATACTATCAGCTATGATACTCAGGCCCAAGAGGTGGATGGGGAGAGTATTGTCGATATGTACGCTGCCCTGTACAGATCTGGTGCAGTTACTAACTCATAATATCTAGTCATATTCTGGACACAATCCGCGAAACGTATGCTGAACCATTCCCAGTTCTCCATCCAGTTGTTCCAGTCAGTAAACCCCCGGCACAGGGCCTCGGTCTCTGGCCTCTCGGCACAACAGCGCACCTCGCTCATTCCTGTCTTCCAAACGCATGCCGCAGCTTTATAGGTGACGTTCTCGTCCTTCGTGCATGCCGTGATATCACAGGCGGAGAAACAATATCAATAGCTTATGTACATCCAACCTTACCGCTCGAGGAGCGACGTGCTGTGCTTGGACGTACACCAGGTACCTCGTGTACCTGCAAGTTCTGCGAGATCGAGGAGAAAGAAGGGACAGCAATACGTCAACAACGCGTAGACCTCTTACAAAAGGTGAAAGAAATAAGCGAACGTGCACCTGCAGAGACGTTACGCACAGATGCAGGCCGGGACCAATCAAATGCTCCAGACGAGACTGTCGTACGCCAGGTGGTAAAGGAGGTCTTGGAAATATGTGACCAACTGGAAGCTACCTTCACTCATCCAACATACGAACAGCCTCGCTTCCCTCTTCTCGAACCACTAGCCTATCTCTTTGCGTGCTATCTCTATCTCGGTCCTAATTCAACAGAGGATGCGCTCAAGGTGAACGCTCGGTACCTCACTTCGCTAGGCTTCTCGTTTGAGTACGACTCTGCTCCTGATGCAGGGAATGAGAAGAGTGGAGGCGGGGACGTCAGGGTCGTCCAGCATGGATTCTATCATCCTTTTATCGTAAGGGCACTCGTGCAACAGTCAAGCGTTTGTTGGCAATTGGGTAAACGACGCACCGCAGATGCATGGAGACGGATCGCAGAGAACTCGATGGAGATTATCACAGGGCATCGTAAACTCTTCAGGGACGGATACTCAAAGGTATACGAGAGCTTGAAATGGGAACTTTGATGAAAGTCTCAACGGCTGTCAATGTCATGGAATGACAGAATATAGCTCAAGGAGAGTTTAATGCCATTGGATTAATTAACTAGCATACATATACCCGAGAAAGAAAGAGAATTACGAAGTTGGGGTATGTATACAACATGCAAACGAATACGGGACACAGTCCGAGAAGATTATCAAAGTCCATACTGCAAACCCAGACAAACAATCAAGACAAACAATTAAGGAAGGGCGATCACTCAATGCATTGATGATGCACGATTAGGCGTAGAACCCTGCGTCAGGTAGTATCAGTACCGATCCATGAACAAATTCATATAAGTAAGAAAATACGTACAATACGACGCAGCATATTTAACACTCAATGGTGGGGAACCAGCGTCGCACTTATCATCCGATATGAATCAGTACAATGGACCAAGAATCCCAAGATTAAAAAAAAAACGTACCGAAGCAGGCGGTTGCCCATACTTCGTATCTATCCTCAACACGGTCTTCGCCAAATCACCCTGTACAGCCGTAAGCTCCAACCAATCGACGTCCTGCTTGCCCGTCGGTGCAGCCAAATCCCCGGACTTGCTCACGAGTACGTACGCATTGGGATCACCCTTCTGCGATGTCGCGCGTGCGTCGAAGACTGGGCTAATGCCCGAGCCGGAAGGGTTAGGCTGGAAGTAGTGTTGCGCGTACACGTCGATTTGTGCATGGAAGCGCGACTCGATTTGTTGAATGCAGAAAGTATTAGGGTCGTTCGAAGGTTCACCGTTCCAAATATCGTATGCGATGGTGGGGAGTTGAGAGAATTGGGATGAGTCGTGCAGACAGGAAACGTCGTATAGATTGGCTACGGCGCCTGCGGAGCTGTAATATGCGCATCTCATCATAAGCAGGAGTACACAACAACGAGAAGGATAGAACGAACACATAAACTCCAGCATTGCACGTATAGTTCTGCACGCCAACGCCTAGCGCGATCTTCTGTGCCGTTTGTCCAGAGGGGACAGTAACGTTCGTCTGGCCAGACGGAAGGTCAGGCGAAGCGGACGAAACATCACAGTTTCCTCGCTTGTTGGGAGTAAGAGGGCCCGCGAGCACCGCAGATGCACCAGCGAGCAGCGAAGTAAAGGTAGTGATAGTAAAGACGACCATGGTCAAGTCAATCGCAGTAAAGATCGAAGAGACTTTTGGTGGAACGAAACGCTTCTAGCGGAGTCGACGAAAGGGGCTTGCAAAAACAAAAAGTAGAAGAGTAGTTATCCCGATGAAAGTATCAACTCTCTGCGTCTCGCTTCATCTCTTTATACCAAAGCGTAGACGAATGGGGCTATCCAGATTAGGTGAGGCTCACGGCAGCAGAGGGACAGGGCAAATCTGAAATCAGGTCCGTGTCGCAAAAGGGCCGTTTGTTCAGAACAAATTAGTTGAGGAATAAAATTAAATTGAGCGCGGTCCTGTTTCGCATTAGCCTGAAAAGTCTGAACTTTCGCGATTGACCCCAGCCCCTGCGTAGCCACAACTACATTTTTGTGTATACAAAGCAGCACAGGTCTTCGTTTTGATCGGGGGAGTCTTGCCGTTGGGCGCAGAGGGATTACGCATGTTGATTTGAAACAACTTCGTCCGGTCTACGGGAGATGCTTAAGGAGATCCAATGGTGGGATGATGTTACTCTTCATTCTTTCTCTTCCAACGAGTTCTCTGTCATAGCTGACAGATAAAATCTTCAAGCTATATTCCGCAATAGACATATTCCTCCCAAAGAAGCTGATTGTTTGAAAAAAGAGGCCATGGGCGCGAGCTGAGGCAGCAGCCATTGGTCCTTTGCACGAAGGGTCGAAGCTTGCTAGAAGAAAAAAAGACCTTGAGGCGCGGACCCGAATCCATTTTGGCGCTGTATTAGGCCGATCATCTGGATTTGAAATTATTCTGATGGCGATGCATCCAACAACAGCCACCTTTGCCGACCTCCCCGTCCGCGAGCATACATGCATGACCAACAAAACGCGCCATCCGCAGGTCAACTCGGTGAACTGTGCCATCCGAAGTCTCACCACAGTAATGTAGGCAACTTCGAAAAACCCCGCAGTCATGTTGCCGAAATACAACCTCCTAAAGTCATCATCGTAGCGCTTGCTGACGATAATGAAGATTACTACCTCACCGACAGACTCCGAAGCTGCTACACCCAATCTGCCCCGCCCTGCAATCAGCCTTTTGAAGTGAATATTCAATATATGTCAGAAAATCAGGCCCCAGGAACATCCATCCACCCTACTCGATCGTCTGGCAACAAGCAAGGTGTCAATCAGAACTAAAATAAACCCGGATCTTTAACGGAGAGCGAAGAGATAGCAACAGCTGCTTGGCGACCTCTTTCCCCGCAAGACATCTCTGGACCTACAAAGGCTCAAAATCTTTGAGACGTTTTTCCATTTTGATGAATGCCTGTCATATATCATTGTAAAATACTGTTCTGATGATCCCCTGATTCAACAACTGAATGAAAAGTAGAGAGGTTCACCGCTCAAGAATTACTGAGGACGAGATTCGTGAATTGATTTTTGCTAGAACTTCTCGGGACGCCCACCGTCAATGTCGACATGTGATTGACAAATAGAAGATGAAGAGAATTTGAAAGGTACGCGGGAATAGTGGCGCTTGGGTTATTCCTAGAGGCAAGCACCAGTCGTCCCTGATATGTTAGATTCAAATGTGTATTCGTAACGGTCATCTACGGTATATTCGATAATCCATGTATATAGCGGTCGAACGAAGATGATTATGTATCTACAACTGTCCATGCTTTCAAATGTATCTTCGACCCCTCGTGTACGTGCGATGATTTATACAAATCCAAAACTCCAAGCAGGTCATACGGAAGTCAATGTCCAAGAAACAACACGTTTACAGAGAACGAGTCTTCGGTGGGTCAGTCTTCATTACTAATTTGATGCGCGTCCTCAAGGAAGTCCAGCAATGTACTTGCGCTCCATGCTTGTGTAGCACATGAGTCGTAGCAGAACGATCCATTCTCATTAGTCAGCTCCGGAATACCTCTCCATCGATCGTTCTGTATGTGAAGTCTAGTTGGTAAAAGGTACCTGTGCAGGCGATGAAGGGTGACATTCTTGTCCTACAGAAACGGACATTAGTAAATACATTCTGCATTCTTTGCAAGTACGGCATACCTCCTTTCCTGCTCCGACAAAAGTGTCGAAGTATAAGTATGCACGCAAGAAGTAACCGAGTGGCCATCCCCACTCCGGCCCGTTATGATAGTTGAGACCTTTGGCAATACTTGGATCGTCTGAGTCATTCGAGTTGTCATAATTCGGTCTGTATTGAGAATCCATCGGGTCAAGAGTCTTCATCCCTAACGGACTCCGAAGGACCTTATCCACTAGTTTAAGAGCGGCCAAGGCGTCATCGGGATCAAATAGCTCAGGAGCAACAGCCATAGCAATCGGGAAGTTGCACCGTAATTGATAGTCTGACCATTCCCTCCCTTCTCCAGAGCCGAAGACGTCCTTGTAAATTCCGCGACGGTTTATGATATTGGGGTCTACATGGTATTTCGCATCGTCCTCGGCAGCTACGGCAGACTTCAGTGCGACAGTCATCTAAGACAAATGACTATTGCTTACCAGCAGGGACGTAGTAGTGTGTCTCGAAATTGGTTCTGATAAGATCAGCCCATTCCTTGTAAGTGACGAGACGACGTGTCCCATCAACTGGAATGCGTTTAGCCGCGATCAAACAACGGAATTTATTTACTTACTTTCGGCTTCAACGCCTTTAAACGGGAATTTGTTCACCTCGGAAAGTTCATGGAGCCACCGGACCGTACTTGCGACGAGTCCCGTAATCTCCACCGGTGCACCATCTCGTGGCGTACCAGGTGTACCTTTCGTACCTGCTTTCACCGATTCTCCCATCTTGTCCATCCATGTACCGCAGTTGTACCTGTTTCCACCGTGAACAAATCCCGTCGACCAGTCTACAGCAACGTCAATATTGAAACCTTCGTCACGCATCTGTACGTCAAGGTTAGGACCGGCATTGTACTCCCGGAAGTGTATTCCATTAGCGTGCCGTTGTAAGATTTCCTGGATAATCTCCGCGACTGTACTCGAGTATGCGTACGCTTTCGGGTCATTCCACGGCACAAACGAATCATCCTTCGGGAACCTCCTCTTAACTGACTCGTTTAGAAGTGACAGCCCATCGGGTGCGAACTGTACGTAGTCTTGAATATTTTGGAGCATCCACCACGGAGAGTCACGAGAATTGTACCTCGGACTTCTGACTGAGTCAAGAAGGTTCGGAATCAGACCGTGTTTAAGGGTCGATGCGAATGCCAGAATATGCGATTTCGCTCCCTCAAAGTTTCCCGTCGTCAAAAACAGTCCCCTCAAGGAAATGAATACATCCCTTCCCCAAGTTCTTGCCCAACCAGCGGCAAAGTGGGGCAGACCAGCGGCTAAGGAAGGTACGGGCTTGCCGGGATCAAGTGACGCCGACTTCACGAGGCCGTACATTTGTACGGAACATAACGCCAGATCTTGTGTGAGGTCATGTCCAGATGCGACGAACTCGGAACACTGCTCAACAACAGCGCGACGAGCCGCCTTGTATGCTGTGGATATTACGATGGCGAAGAACTTCGGACGCAGGAAAGGCGGAATGCCTGTCCTAATTTTGTCAAACTTCTCCTTAAACCAAGCAGCTGGATTCGCTAGTCGCGGTAAAATCTCAGCTTGCCTAAAAGCGCAATATTACTCGGAATTAAGAGTTGGGAAAGCGGTGTGTAGACTCACCTTACTAAGCGCCCGTGAATATAGTCCATACTCCAAGACCCATCTCGCAAATTTCCACAGAGTGGATGGCCCAGATCATTATGTTTCATGATATGTCTTAGAGAATGCATCCAGCCCTCCAAGCCGCAGTATGCCAGCTTGCCCATTCCCGGCACGTCATAAGCAGCAATAGCACCGTCAGTCGCGTCCAATTCTTCGCCTTCTGCACGATGCAAAATGATATTAAGGTCTATGAAGTCAAGATCTGCGAACGCCTCCTCAGCTCCTAAGGCACAGAAGGAGTCAAGCTCTGCATCAATGCCCTCCAGTTCTGTCTCAAACAGCATGACACTGCCTGGAGGGAAGTAGTCCGGAACAATAATTTCCGAATACGATCCTTCGTGGTCCGAAGACTCGTGCGGTTGTACCGGATCGAGGCTAATTAGGGATGAAGGGAGTCCACGCAGCAACTTCTCATCCGCAACTTCGTAGGAAGTGATATCTATGGCTGAACCAAGGATAAATTTAGCCTTAGTCCTCCTGAGTTTAATCGGCTCGACTGGAAAGACGATAGCTTCAGGTAAGTAAGCATTCGTGCAATCAGTGAACGAGGAACGTACTCCATCCTCGATCCTTAGATCCTTTGGAGAAGGCTGTATGCGCTACAAGCAAATAACCTTTTTGAGTATGAGGCTGAACTCGGTGCAAGACAATGTACTATGCAAAAAACATCAGACTCGTAAAACTCAAGAAAGAGTGATTCGACGTACATCATTCTCTTGGTGTACGTGGCCCTCACTGAAGCCTTCAATCATCATCTCTGTATGCAAATGATTGAATACGCGCTTCATGGAACTAATCCCATTGGAGCCGTCCAACGCGTACTTCCGCATCTCGCCAACGATGTTCAGGTGCTTCGGGTACAAGTCGTCAAATCCCTTGACGGACCCAATTCCCGAGTACGAGAATGTTACGAGAGCACCGGTAGAAAGTGCATCTTCGGCGCTACGCTTGAACATAGGCGTTTCATTATCATGAGTCAGATCAAACATCACTGCATGTGGAACAGAGCCCTGAAGTGGAGTGACTATACACTGTCGACTCGGTCCTTTCCCTGTCGGTGGAGGAAGTTCGTCGGTACTTGTGAGACACGCAGCGTCCATCGAACCTTCAGAAACCGTTAGTCATTGAAAGGTCCATAAGTTCGAGGAAGGTACTTGCCAATCGGCTTGCCGACTCCATATCTATACAAGAGTCTGGAGAATTCTTTTGGGTCGTGACCATTGTACGCCTCCCGGATCAAGCTGTTGATACCGAGTCGGCTCACGAAATACGTATCTGTATCTTCGCTACCCGTGAACAACTCCGCACAAACATATAGGTCGGGATTTACGACTCGGGCAGCGTCAAGAAGTGTGACACCCACATGCAATGGCGTTGAATGGCAATTGTCTATTCGAAAACCGTCGAATGCAGCTGCAAGACTTTGCACGTAATGTGTCATATGCTCCCAAAGCCAAGGATTGTCTTCAGGCCCTTCACCATAACGAAGTTTAACACAATCGCCCCAGGCAATCACTTCCCGGCGAAGGTAGGCCTTCGATGGCTTCAATGCAAAGTTTTGTAACGGGTCAGCATCCCATATCCATCCATTATTCGCTACGGCGTGCACTTGTGGGTCATATTTGTCTACCTTAAGGCGTGTAAAGTATGTGTCTACGAGAGGTAATCTGCGAATTAATACGAGAATAATCAGAAATACGAGAATAAACAGAGTGTAAGGTATGAAATGGATAGAAACTTACTCTTCCGTTATTTCTCCCAGTTTCGGACCATGACTAGCGAGTCTTGTGTAATCGAGTCGATTCTTCATGTTTTCCAACGCAACACGTGTATCTTCTTCCCATTCTCGGTATAACGGAACGTTGAGGACATCAACAACTCTTACCCAGGCATCGGCCAGAGCTTCTTCATCCTCAAGCTCGGTAAAGGCTGCCTTGACCAAACCAGCTGCATATTGTGGATCCACCGTTACGGCATAGCGAGTATGAAACTTCTTGCTTTCATCAAGCTCTCCGTTAGCGCGGATGAAGTCGGCCAGTTCTGCGACGGTTTTCCTTGCAATGTCCGGTCCATTCCAGGTAGGTGCGGCCGCAAGAGCAGCCTTGACAGATTCCCTCTCCTTTTTGACATCCAGCACGTAGTATTGCCAGAAATTTAGAGCATTGAGTTCCTGGTGAAAGGCGTTGATGAGCATTTCGATGTCGCCATTCGAATCGACCCTAGTGGGCAAGCCCTTGGCTGATAACGACATAGAGAAATCGACCATTGCATCGTCGAGCTCTAAGGCTGGCGTAAGGTGAGGGGTGTTGGAGGGACTGTAACCTAAAGGACGGAAGATTTCTCAGCCGCAACAAAATAACCTAGACGGGGAATTCGTACCAGCTTCCGGGTGTTCCAGCAACCAAGGACTGTTGTTCGCCGCATGGTTAAGGACGACATCTGTCATGCTTAGTATGCCATACTCTTCTCTCGCAACTTGCAGGATGTCCTCGACGCGTTTCGTCTTGTCCTCGTCGGAACCCGTCCATCCAGGCTCAAAAAGCTCCGAGTCGTAAGACATGAAGTCTGCAAGCGAGTACGGACTCTGGCTTACTCCACGTTGTTGCAGCGGAGTGAAGTGTAGCATATTGTAGCCTCTCTCTGAAGCCTCCTGCAAATGAGGCCTCCATTCGTCCAGTGTCCCCATCCATTTCGATACTACAGTCAAGATGACAAGTCCGTCCAAGGATAAATTCACAATTGTCCCTTCAACAGATGCCCCTCCAGATTCAGCTGGGATCGGGACCAACTCTTCGGAAAGGATGGGCGAGCGCTTCCGGATCTGCAAAGCCGGGTCAATGTTGAAGTAGCCCTCTCTTCCTGTCTCGCGTTCACCGTCATGTCCATCGAACTCTACCCAGTACGCGAAGGCACCTCCATGGGAGATAGGTAAATCTATTTGAATAGGCTTTGATACGTTCGTCGGGAGCCTATAATAGCATGATGAGTAGAATGCATATATGCAGCTTCCGAGCTCAAGAAGACGCACTTTCGCTCTGCAAATCGGTTGCGGTCAAAAACCCCTCCGTCTATAGGGAAGTTAGTCTTGAAGACTCCGTTCCTCGAAGCAGGCGTTCCCGCATCCAGGCTGATTCGCAGGACGTATGGTATGTACGGTGGCGGAAGCCGGATGTACTAGGAGTTAAAGTTAGTCAGGGGTTGAACACGATTGCGCAGAAAACTCCATTAACTGAGGATTTTGGACATATATATCATAAATGCACATACCGACTTGTCCTTGCTAGGACCGCCATCGGAATCCAGCTTGAGCTCATAGACCTGGATTGGAGCTTCACCAGGGACGACGGCGGACTCGAAGAACTCGATGCCCTCATCAGCGGGCGTCTTGGGCGTCTTCAAGTCATTAGGCGCATTGAAATCCCGGGGTGGAATTTTGATTGTGGGCGATGCCACCCGTTCGCCACTGGCATTCTCCTTGGCTGTAGCGACTGCTTTGACAGGGTCATGGCCATGGACTGCAGCAGAGATAGCGGCCTCAGCCATGTCGAGCACATTCACTGTAGTCATAGGCGAGACGAAATGAGGGAGAACGGAAGGAGTGGCGAGCCTCGGCGTAGAGGCAAGACGGACGAGGTTAAGTAGGAGCAAGACGCGACTGAAAGCAAACGCGACATTCTGCTCTGCTCGGATCCGATCTGGACATCAGTCTTCATTTGGACCTACGTCACTGCCGCATCTGGACCCGCCACTATGGCCGAATCTCCCCGTTCCCATTCCTTTCACATATCAGTTCAGCATCAGCACGATCGTTCTGATAGTAAAACGTCACTTACGTACGGGGAACCTTCTCATAGTCTGGGGTAATGAATGATACACTTAAGAAAGAACGTTGAGATGAAGTACATTGGCGACTGAATTGGCGATACGGATGCATACGCGAAGTTCATGTTTGCATATTAATTTTCCCCATTTATATCGATAACTGAGGCGGAAAGGTACGCCCGCAAGCACCGTACAATATACATACTTTGCTTCGCGCGAGTGTGAAATGTAACCAAAGCCCCGGAATAGGCAATCCATTTTATCGCGAATGTGACTCAGCAAGACAAGAGGAATAATAAAGTAAAAATGGATTTTCTTGCCGATTTTGTCACACTTTCCGCTTGTGCAACTTGCGTCCTCTGCGGCGGCATCAAGCAGCAACCCATCCAACTTTTCTTGTTCAACGACTTTCTATCAACTTCTACCATCCGAGAAAGCTGTCGATTTGTATTGAAAATTTGGATTAAGAGGTACGTTGCGGCAACGGCCACCCTCCGAGTTTCTATCGACAAGCTGAACTGGGAAGTAAAAGCCACAGAAGGCAGGCTGTGATACCCGTGGTCAAGGGGCTCGGGCGCATTCATGTCTTTCTTCGGGCTCGAAACGAACAATCCTATCGAGGAGGAGAAGCGGCGGTTCCTGTCAGGCGAGACGAGGGCTGACGAAGATATCGCAGTCTACAATTGGGGTCAGGATGACTACGATGGACTTGGCCATGCACTCCAGGAAGGCGGAGACGAACTGAATGACGAGACCTTCGGCGGCACTGGACCCGTCGGTAAGTCACTGAATCCGCATCCCTGACGAGTTCGAACATCGTCTCACTACTACCCGGCCTCTCCTCAGGCAAGGACTTCGACTTCACTGCACATGCGCTTCCGGATCTAGAGCGCCGTCCAAAGCAGGATTCTGTCACAACTGCTGGTCTAACACACATCCATGAATCACACATGCAGACGCAGTTGCCAGCCGAGGTATCAAAGTCATCTCAGCAAGGTGCGTTGCATCCGCTGCTGCCATTTCGACTCGTCTGACCTGAGACTCCAGCGCGCCCCACGCACACGTCCCGCGAGTCCATCTGGGATGACAAGTCCCCGTTCTCCGTTCTGCGCACGTCAAGCAGCATTGGACGCAGGGCTGGTTCCGTCCTTAGTCACCAAGCGTCAACGAGCATTTCTGGGACACGTCCTTCCGCAAGTAATGCTGTCCGTCAACAAACGCAGTCACCAGCGCTTGTTCAGCAATATCCGTCAGCCGCTAATGTGCCACAGAACCAAACACGGACGGATGGGATGGTTGACTACTCCGCCCCGGGTACGCGCAGTCTCGCAGAGATCGAAGCAGAAATGCGTGCACAGACCCAGCGAGCTCGTGAGATAAAGCTCCAGGAACAACAGCTTTTGCTTCAACAGCAACAACAGCTACTTCAGCAACAATTACAGCAACAGCAACAGCTCATGAAGCCGCCGCGTATGCGTTCACAATCACCGTCTGTACACCAGAGGTTGCCTCACAATGCTCCGCAAGCCAGCTATCAGGCGTCGCAGTCCAGATTCGACGCTTATCCACAGCAGGCATTTCTGGTGCAAGAGGCTGAAAGTGTGCGTAACCAAGAGCCTCAGCGTGGTTATCACAAGGACCCTGCACTTATGCATATGGAGGGTCGGAAACGCACGCATACGCCCATCGACACAGTTGAGTTCATGCATCAAAGGACCGCTGAGCGTGAGCGCGGCCTTCAGCAAGGTATGACACATAGCAGAGCACCATCTCAGCAGTACCAGCAACAGCAACGTTTCACTGGAGAATTTGACTATCAAGAGCAAGAAAGTCGTCAAAGGCTTCTTTCTGCACCAACAAATGTTGATGAGTTGCGACGGCAGATCATAGCTGATCAACAGCGACAAGCACAACTAGCAGCAGCAGGACTCCTTGAGCAGCGGCGTGATTCACCGATGGACCAACTTCAACAGATGCGTCTGGCCATGGTAAATGAGATGGTCAATAAAGCACGCGGTGAGGGTAGCCCGAACATACTCGGCACAACAGCAACAGACGCAGCGCAAATGCAACTACAGCAGCGTATGCTTGCCCAGCTCGCTCAACAAGAGTTCTTACAAAATATTGCCGGCATGAACGGCGTTAACGGACAATCTCTGCCTCAGGGTATGGTGCAAGTGTCCGATGCTCAGAGGGAACAGCTCCGCGTGGAGGCAATGCGGAAAATTATGGAGGCTGAAAAACAAGAAGGTAAACGGCGACGGAAAGCCGCGAAAATCGCACATATGGTTTGTATTCTCAGCGTTCGATTCTCTTATACCCTGTGCTAATGGACTTAAATGTTCAGAGCCGCTACAACGACCTCATGACGCAATCCGACAAGGATTTCATCACACGCATTCAAGTTTCGCAGCTCGTCACCTCCGACCCGTACACAGAGGACTTCTATGCTCAGGTCTACGGCTCACTCATGCGTAGTCGTATGGGCATTGACGTAACGGAAGAGCGAGTCCTGAAATTCGGTTCTGGTGAGGGCGTCGGACTCGGGTTGAACCAACGCGGCGGAAATCGTCGACCAAACGCTATGCAGCGCATGGAAGCCCAGGTCGAACGCATCGTAAATAATGCTAGGCAGAGGGAAAAGGAGAAAGGCTTGCACGGTTTGTCTTCCATGCCACTTTTGATGCCTCGGGATTATTGCTGACAGTTTGTTCGTATACAGCGATACATAGCCTTCAGGGTGCCTTAGGAAAGACCGCTGGTCGGAGCTACAAGGCTGCCCCTCGTCAGCTACTCCAAGTCGACACCAATGGGACGACAGATCCGAATGCTGCGCATGGACATATCTCCAAGGACGATTCAAAGCAACATGCAGCAGGTGCTGCTAAGGAAGCTGCAAAACGAGGTCGTGAAGCTCTTGGTGTCCAAGCTGATGTGCGATCTCTCGTTCTTTCCGGCGCAAGGTCGGTACTGACTTCGTTTCCGCAGCCTACAGGAACTGTGCAAAAGGACCCACTCACGCGCAGAGAATGTCTTATTATCCTTGAGAGTCTCTATGACAGTCAGCTGAAAATTGAGCAATTGCGCCGTGAGCAACCTGCGCCTGATGACCAATTTCATGTGGTAGAATGGTACGCCTTAGGCTCTCGCTATTCCCATTGTCACCTTTGACTGATTATTTTAAAGGGAGGCGTCATATAGAGCCGAGACAGGACGTCTTTGGGACAACCTTCGCGTCATGGTGCCCCTCGAGACGAGCAATCCTCACCCTTTTATCTCACTGCTTATGCCTGCAAAGGGCAAGAAACTCCTCCCACGTCTCGCACGGCATCTCAACACACAGCAACTTCTTCAAGTCATCTGTTTACTAGTTGCATGTTTTTCGCAGCTCGATGTCGTTAAGAACGCTGCAGTCCTCGACGTCCAGGAAGACTCTTCAGAACGCCGAGAGGTTGATAGACAAACGCAGTTGTTCTTGTCGACTGTGTTACAGTCTATTTTGCCTGTGGTCGCCAAGTTCAAATTGGGCGTTGTGGTTGGTATGATGGGTCTTCTTATGGAGCACTGTGATATGGGGCTTGTCATTCACTCGAGAGTAAGTCCTCGCCTGCCTTGATCTTTGGAACATACGTTGAATCGGAACTTGGGTTTCCAGCCCGGTCAAGCTCTCCTTACCGCTTTTCTGAGTCGCGCGGAAGAGATCAAGTCCGAGATGATGGCAGGATCTATTGACCCATCCGAGATTCCGACAGAAGAGGACCTGCAATCATGGTTAGTGGTATTCCATTCTCCAATCATCCTCGGCATCTTACGTATTATCATATACTCTAGGCAAGGCGTCGTCGTCCACCTCTACCACATTTTCGGTCCCTTCCTCCTCTCTCTCTTCCCCTCATCCCGAATCCCAACACTCCGCACATCAGCAGGAGTCCTAACAGTCGACGCAGACCTCCTCGACCAACCAGTCTGGAAGTTCCTCGCAACCTTCGCCCTTCATGCAGACAACGAGCAGCAACAAGTCCTCGTCTCCACACTCCGCGAAAAGATCCTCGACAACGTTCTCGCAGTCAACAAGGGATTCATCACCGACGAGGCAGAGCAGAACCTCAAAATCACCAACGTGAATATATTTTTACACGCGTTGGGTTTGGATAGCTCGCAGATCACTGTTTAATAATTGGGTGTTTCTTTTAATAGCAACTGTTTTCTTTTTCTCTTTCTTTTGTCTTCTTTTTCTTTACATCTGCCTCGCCCTGCTTTGTATCTGTCCTAATGAAAAGTTGTTTTCCCTTCTCGTTTTGTTTCAACCCCTTCAAGCAAGGGCTATGTGTCAAATGATTATCAATACTACATTGGTCTTGTGCGCTTTTCCCTTCGCAACTCCATTGTGTTAATCTAGACATTATAATGAATCACTGCTATCCACTTCATCTTCTAATTCATCGCTATCATCGTCGACCCCGCTACATCTGAACAACTCCTCAGCTCTGAAGAGCTGCCGCTGCTCCGGTTGACTGCCAATCGTGACGCACCCGGCTAGCTCTTTTTGTCGTTCCTTTCCGCGTTCCACAATCTCCTCTCCGCTCGTGATTCGACCTAGAAGGTCAAGAACTGGTAAATCAGACCATTCCGGTAGCTGTTCATCAGGCAACTCAAGCAAGCCCGTCGAACGCGAATCCTGTTGGTCATCGGTATAAGTAGGCAGAGTCATGAGCGGGAGCGTAAACAGAGCCTTCTTCTGTTCGTAAACACTCTGCGGCTGTTCTTTAACATGCGAACCGACCTCAAGATGATTCGTCGACAACGACACAAAGTCATCGTAATTCGGATACAACATGACATACCCGCGAAGGTACGCGAGCTCGATGAAGAACTTCTTCCATGATTTGGCCCATCTATTGGAGCGTACATCTGGCACGACGTGATCGCGGAGCGGTATCCATGCTTTGGAGAGGCGGATTGTTAGATATGCATGAAATTCTTGCCAGTGTTCTGGAAAATACACGGCGCCCCAACTACAAGGAATTTGCGAGAGATACGGAGTATTGCGATAAAGGACGCCGAACGAGTCGAATAATGCTTGAGCGTCGAAGGGCCGGCGGCCTTCTGGTCGTAGTTCTATCTGCTTCTGCTGATATAGGCTTATCCCGAAAAGCGTCGGCTGCCTATTTGAAGCACCATAGCTTGAGGCCAGTCAATCAAAGTCACCAAGTACCAAAGCATAAATCTGACATACCGGTATCGCAACAGAGACATCTTAGCCCAGGCATAGAACAGAGGTGAAACCTCAACATCGTCTTCCAGTAAAATAACATAGGAGTGATTTGAGTGAGGATACCAAGACTCCACAATAGCAGTACGAAGCCCTGCATGGACAACCCGATGGTGCACGAATATTTCACCGTGAATCCAAGAGAACTGATCGACAATTCTCCTGGTATGCATATCCGCCGTTTGCTCTTCGTTTATTCGAATAGAGACGGAGTCCCCAAAGTACCGAGCGCCTTCTAGTGATTTGAGCAAACGCTCTAACGAGCTCGGCCTGTTATCGGTAATGACAGAGAGCTCTATGTCTGGTGCATGCCAACCTAAAAGCCTATGAATTAAGGGTAGCATTAAATAGCGACTTTGACCTACTTCTCAGTTCTTCCAATGTTAACGACGCAATCCAATCACAGTACGGCAGATCACTGTGCGGCAGTCGAATCACCATCACTCCTGAGGCACTCTGCCTCTCCAGCTCAGCTTTGAAGGAATACTGCGATGCATCTTCGAGTCCCGTGAGTCCGTAGAATATAATCGACATTGATTCATTTGCCGACTTGAGCCAGAAATTTAGCGCTTCTGCATTTGCGAAGATGTTCGACGAAGAGTGCAACGCACTAAACGAGATCCCGCAGACATCTGAAACAAGGTGTTCATGGAACCAAGGAAATGCGCCATCATGTGGAATGACATGGTCGGTATCGTGTGACAGGATAAGAACGTGAACATTGTAGCCATTTTCCATGAACCTGCAGACAACATTAGAGAACTCTCGCAAATCTTTGAGCGTCTGCAAGACTACGGCTAGGGAGGACGAATGAGCCAGGTCATTCATTTCCTCGGAAGCTTCGCTAGACTCGGGTAGTGTCAAGCACTGTGCAAGTGTCGGTTCATCAATTGCATGGTGCTTGAGGCATTGCACATGACACCAGTCTTTGTCCGAAGTTTTCTCAGATTCACGAACGACAACGCCAATCCCATTAGCGTGCAGCACAGTTCTTCCAAAATCGGACCAGAAAGTTCCATTATCGATTGTACTTGGGTTGAATCCGCGTATCAACGGAGAAGGAATGACAAAGGGCGGAAAGAGGAAAAATGCCGAGCCAGGCTCGACATGAGGTGCAGCACATACAACATAATCTCTCGCCTTCGTAAGATTAGCTCCGCAAAATCCACTTGGGACGTCAAGCAAGAACGGATGTGATAGGAGATGGTCGCGAGATTCTTCATGGAGGTCACCGAAGCCTTCATTGTCTATGATCAATGCGTATTCTGTCGATACCTGAGCTGCTGCATGCATTAGAGCTTGAGCTTCTTCGAGACCTTCTGGCCAGAGAGCTATGTTTATATCGAGGAAGGTATCCATACTACCCCCGTGAAGAAAAGTCTGTAAGGCAGAGAAGGTATCGGCAGGACAAACGATTGTAATGGCTGAGATTGAAGATTGATCAGACATAAGGGGTTCAACGGTTTGCTGTAGTCGAACCAAGGTATCAACAGTCATAGTGAGGATAGCAGTCATCGAGCCACTGTCATAGAAGAAGGGAAGGTCAATGAGATCCGAAGCACCGAGAAATATCGTGTCTGTAGCATCGAGTAGCACAGTCCTCGAGGTCTCCACTAGCTCATTGCGTACAACAATGGAACTCTCAGCAATAAAATTAGATCTATGTTTTTCGGTGGTTGGAGATTGTGAACCCCAAAGTAGGAGAGGCCCTAGACTAGCTAGCAGTGTCAGAAGTAAAGCACCGATGAATAAGTACGCCTTGACACGTTGTACGTAGGTCCTTTGGCTTGCGCGAAGCTCTTTAAAGAGGGAAGATGAAGCCCTCCTCTTCAATTTCATCGCATTAGCGACTCCTGTGACTCTAATAAATGACAACTATAGAGCATTCGGGGGAACAACAGTTCGCTGGAAGACTTGCTAGTGCGCCGTCGGTGGCAGGGTCTGGTATGTTACCTTTTTTTGAGTTTGAGAAACATGCTTCACGTGTTCAGGACTGAGCTTGTCACGTGTCAATGCACAATTCAGTTCCGACCTAGAATGGCTCAAGAAACTTAGACAGTAGATTATACTAGATAAGACAAGTAGGTTTTAAGAGGATAGAGGATCTCTGGTGAGACGTTCCGTACAGCTCGTTCTCTTCCCTTCTCATGTACGAACAGGTCGACAACGGAGAATCGGGGTCATTAAGACGCGTCACTGTGCTTGCATGGTGACAAGGACTTCATTCTGAAGGACATCCAGATTGCTCCGAGACAATGAACCCCTTTGAAGTTTTCTCTAATAAGCGATTTGAGCAATACGGGAGAATAGAAGATCTGGGCAATGCTATCGAGCATTATCGTGCTTCACTGGAACTCGTCCCTGACGGGCATCCAGATCGTTCCACGTCTCTCACTAACCTTGCCGCTACCCTTCAGACTCGCTTTAAGCAGCATGGACGGACCGCAGACCTTGAGGAAGCCATCGAACGTCATCGCGCTGCCCTACAACTTCGCCCTGATGGCCATCCGGATCGTTCCTTGTCTCTCGATAACCTTGCGAATTCCCTTCAAACTCGGTTTGAGCAGCATGGACAATGTGAGGACCTTGATGAGGCCCTCAAACATCATCGTGCTGCCCTGCAGCTTCGCCCCAATAACCATCCCGATCGTCCTGTGTCTCTCAATAACCTAGCAAATTCCCTTCAATCTCGCTTTGAACAGCATGGACGGACTGCAGACCTCAAGGAGGCCATCGAGTGTCATCGCGCTGCCGTGCAACTTTGTCCCGACGACCATCCTAGATGTCCCATGTCTCTCAATAATTTCGCAACTTCTCTGGCAATTCGATTTCAACAGCATGGGCAGACTAGGGAACTCAACGAGGCTATCAAGCACCTTCGCTTTGCCTTGCAACTTTGCCCCGATGGCCATCCCGATCGCTCTACTTCTCTCAATAACCTTGCAGCTGCCCTTCAAATTCGATTTAGAGAACATGGACAGACTACAGACCTTGATGAATCCATTAAGCATCACCGTGCTGCGCTGGAGCTTTTCCCTGACAGTCATCCTAATCGCTCCGCATCTCTCAACAACCTCGCATATGCCCTTCAAACCCGATTTGAGCAGCTTGGACAGACTGCAGACCTTGATGAGGCTATCGATCGTCATCGAGCCGCCTTGCAACTTCGCCCCAATGGCCACCCAAGTCGTTCCACGTCTCTCAATAACCTCGCGAATTCCCTTCAAGCTCGATTCGAACAACGTGGATGGACTGCAGACCTTGATGAGGCCATAGAGCATCTTCGTACTGCCGTGCTACTTTGCACCGATAGCCATCCCAACCCTTCCGCGGCTCTCAACAACCTCGCGACTTGCCTCCAAACTCGATTCGAACAATACGGACAGACTGCAGACCTCGATGAGGCTATCAAGTTCCATCGTACGGCCCTGCAACTTCGTCCTGACGGTCATCCCAATCGTTCCACATCTCTCAATAACCTTGCAACTTCCCTTCGAACCCGCTTTGAACAGTATGGACAAACTGTAGACCTCGATGAGGCCATCAAACATCATCATGCTGCTCTACAACTTCGTCCCAACGACCATCCCGATCGTTCAATGTCCCTGGATAACCTTGCCTCTTCCCTGACAGCTCGATTTCAACAGCACGGACGGATTTCAGACCTTGAAGAGGCCATCAAGCATCATTGCACTGCCCTTCAACATCGCCCCGATGGTCATCCGGATCGTTCCATGTCTCTCAATAACCTCGCAACTTCCCTTCAAACTTGGCTTGATACGTATGGCCAGACTGCGGACCTCGATGAGGCCACCAATCATTATTGTGCTGCCCTACAGCATTTCCCTGACGGTCACCCCAATCGCTCCGCATCTCTTAATAACCTCGCGGCTTCTCTTTAGACTCGACTTAAACAGTCTGGTCAGACAGCAGATCTTGACGAAGCCATTGAGCATCATTGTGCTGCCTTGCAACTGCTTCCCAACGGACATCCTGATCGTTCTACGTCGCTGAAGGGCTTGGCTACTTCCTTATACTCTCGATTCGAGAAATTTAGGCACATGGACAATTTTGAAGAGAGCATGCAATTACTTGAGCATGCTGCCGAGTATAAGTTCTCTAGCTTCTTGATCTGTCTCGCATCTGCCCATCAGTGGGCTAACCTTGCTCGAAAACATGCTCACCATACCACATCTAGAGCTTACAAGGTGGCAATGTCCCTCCTCCAACATACCATTATTATCAGCCCTACTCTGCTTATGCTATAGAGGGAAATGGGCTTAAAGAAGTTATAGAGTTACTTGAGCAAGGACGGGGTTTACTTTGGTCACAGATGCGTGGTTTTAGAGCGCCTCTGGATCATCTTGCAGGAACAAACACAGAGCTTGCCGACCGGTTCAGGGATGTTAGTCACCTGCCGGAGAACCTGACGACGTCACCAACTATGTTACAGTCCGATTCAGGTGCAGTCAGAGGCGGGTCATCTATGCTGGGTGTTTATGGGGAGCGGATCGTGCTTGAGGAGGGGCTAAAATTGAAGAGGCAACTCTTTAGCTAACAGGAAGAGATCATCAATGAGATACAGCACATTCCTGTGTTTGAAAACTTTCTTTCAGTTACGCCATTTAAAGTGCTCCAGTAGGCAGCTTCGGAGGGTCCTGTGATAGTCAACCGTTGCAAATATCGATCCGACACACTCATTGTGCTTTCCTGGGACTATTTGCCGGTTGTCTGTGTTCCAGTAGATGAGGAGTTCTACGATGACAGCACTAATATGTGCAAGGAGCTGCTAGAAACGTACACAAGCTCCGGAGCTGACTTGCGAGAATACGATCAGACACTCCGCCAGGTGATGAAGGCTTTGTGGGACAGGGTTGTCTCTAAAGTGGTCGACAAAGTAAAGGAGCTCGGGATTGCGGAGGGAGCGCGCATATGGTGGTGCCCCACATCTGTACTATCTGCGCTTCCTTTCCACGCAGCAGGTTCATTCGAGCATACAGATGGATCTGTCAGGTATCGGCTAGACAAGTACATTTTATTGTGTACTCCGACACTCGCAGTGCTCATCAGCACACGATCTGGTGGGGACGGAGGAGAGGCGACAGTACTTGTAACTGGGGATACCTCACTTCGGTAGGCTAAGAGGGAAATCCACAATATCAGGAATTGTGACGTAAGCACCAAATTATGTGTTAGCAACCCTTCGTGTGATATTGTGATCAAAGAGCTTCGGAAAGCAACTTGGGTCTATTTTGTTTGCCATGGACTCTTGCATTCAACGCCTTTCAACTCTTCATTCAAGCTGTCCGATGGCAGGCTGGCGCTACTCGATGTTGTCCAAGGTAATCTTCCGAATGCAGAGTTTGCATATCTTTCTGCTCGCCATACGGCCGAACAACCACGTGACGACTTGCATGATGAAATACTTCATCTGGCCGCAGCGATGCAATTCTCTGGGTTTCAAAGCGTGGTTGGATCAATGTGGTAGCTACTTGATGAGGACAGACCCTTCTTTGACAGGGCTGCTTATGAGTATATGTGAGAGTGTGACAAGAGTGAGGTGCGGTATAAGCGAGCGGCTACCAGACATCGAAAAGCAGCCATGGAGCTAAAGGCACTGGATGGCATTCAGACTGAGAGATAGGTCAACCTGATTCACATAGGCGCCTGATTGAAATTGATTTGCTCTTGAGACCTCTGTGACATTTATATTAGAGAGTAAGGCTATACAGTAACAATAAATGGTTCAGGACTGTTTAGTTTTATTTTAGTAATTACTAAAGTATCTATTTTTGACACAGATATACTGTAAAATTGAATCCTACTTTTGACCACTAAAAGTTCCCTTAATGACCTGAAGCCATTGTCCCAGCCTATGATCATTAGGTGTAAGACAATCCTCAGGAATATTAATATTATACTCTTTTTTCAAAATCTTAACAATTTTATCAGTTTGTTCTGCATAGTTTGTTGGATATATCTCTTTATAAGCAGTAAATCCATCAGAATTGATATAGATAGGAAGCTCCTGTTTTCGTTTTTCGTTCTTTCTAAGCAACTCTTTGTTCTTACTTAGTTTTTCTTCCTTGTGTCTTACTTCCTCCTCATATTTTATTTTATCTTCCCCCTTTATCTCATCCTTCTTTCTTTCTAATTCATCCTTCATGTTTTTGATCTCATCCTCCTCATTTTCTATTTCGTCCTTCTTGCTTTCTATTTTTTCATCAATTGAATCAAGTTCATTAATCCATTTCTTTCTAAGATCCACTATTCTTTGTACTCTCATAGTTGTTTTTTTTTAAATCTGTCCAAGAACTTCCTTATGATTGGGTCCCCATTTGGATTGGTGTCAGATTTAGCATTTTCACAGAGAAGTTGCATAAGTAAGAAAACATTGTATGTTTGTTTGTGCCACTTAGGACCTTGAGGAGAAACAGAAAGTGATTGAGTTCGACTTTGGTGAGACATACTAATAATACTGAGTGCCAGATAATGTTTGATGGGCTGAAAGGCAGAGACATCTGGGCACAATGCTGAAGGGTGTTGCTTTATAATGCTACAGATAAACAAAGTAGATCAAGTAGTAGTAATGTTATTAGATGGTTGCTCTCACCTGAGTCACCTTTGCTCTGCTGATGAGGAGTGTGTGACTATTATTTAAGTAATAGGGCACAAACCCGAATCTGATTATTATAGTGCCTGTCTCTTACACAGTGTTGTACATTATACAGTTGTCAGCACTGTATTTCCTCTACTCTTGTCCACCCTCACTAGGGCTTAGTATGTGTTACTGTGTCAGACAGAAGAATGGGAGTGATCAGTATACTGTACTTAGGATCTTCACAAAGTAGTATACAGCTTCCAAAGCAACACACAGGTGTAAAAAATGCTTGAAACATGCCTTGCAAATTGTGTCAATACTAGTACAGCTGCATCACGAAAAAGTCGCAACAAATGTATTTAATAATAGCAAAGGTAATCTAATAAAATGATTTTATAAGCATTACATTCTAAAATAACACTTATATTTTACTTATAATGTAATTATAATGATTGTATATAAATGTAAGAAATATACAAAGTTTCTATTAAACTACAAACATGTTTTAGAGCAAGTAAGCTTACTAATAGTATTATTACAACATTACATGTGAGGTACAAGTGCTCAACTCCTATTATAATATGCTAAAATTATATTATAAGTTATCTGTAACAATAGTTGATTAATTATAACAGTCATAAAAGTAATATGTTGTGCTTGTAAGTTAATTACAATACTTTTAGTAAGATAATATACAATTATATATATTAATAATGTTAACAATCACTCTTTCAGACTTATAATATAATTTGTTTTTACCTTTAAACAATATATCGAAGTGATTACATAATCGAGTACCAAAGATCGAGAGCATATAATGACGCACTTGCTCTCGTCACTCCTTTTCCTCCTACCTCCATCATCTCCCCAACCCTCTTCCCCCAACGCTATGTCGTCTCTTTTGTTCTCTCCAGGCCAGTCCTCTGCCTACAA